CCCTCTCCTACTAAGCACAGAATGAACATGTCATCTTCTAAGCTAGCGATGTGGCTTTTGATACCCCCTACACTGAGATTGCGGTATCTGAAGCTCGAATCCGTGTGCCTAAAGTGCCTCTCTATGTGTCGGAAAATCTTGTGTGCCGGCATACATGGGCAAACCGGTTAACCGCTTAAATTTATCGACCGAAACAACCGACCGCATTAATTCAGAGACCGGAACAACCAACCGTTTAGACCGATTAGACCGGTTGATATCCATCACGTGACTGTCTACCAATCTAACTCCGCCTCAACACACTCGACTAGCTGTTGATCCAGCTCCCGTGCAGTATCTTCGTCAAGACAGGTATCTAGTGTGGTGGGAAATCCTATTCCACTTGCTCTGACTGGCTTGATGTGGCCCTTTTTCAGCCAATCGCCTATGCACTCAATAATCTCAATATTGCGAGGTATTAGCTGGAGACGGCTCCATGAACATGTTCTCCGAGCTCCTGAGAACACCCTTTCAGGTTCTGCGGACTCTGCAGGGATTGAGAGGATTGTGATAGCCATGTGAGAGAGACGAGGATAGGACCGTCTTTGGGTAGATCGACACCACCACTCTAGTGGAGTAAGCTTGACACCGTCAAGATCAATAGGATCCATATTGATGAAACGATAGAAATCATCTACAGCTCCAGGCGAAGCGTACTCAGGCCTCTGCTTTGCTTTGTACTTCGCGAAGCTATTTAGTTTAGCCATTTCGATCTCTTCCCTAGCAGGGCTATCTTGAATTAGAGGAGCATCCGCAGGAAGTTGAGTATTGAATTCCTCATCCCAGATCTTGCCGGCTGCTTTAATCGCGCAATCAACCCAAGTCGGCTTCCAGAACGTTTCAAGGTATGCGCGACGGGATGACGGATCAAGTAGAATAGCAGCGCCATAGGCGGGTACCTCATCAGCGCCACTATAGTACTTGTTAAGGACAAACCAGCCCATAGTAATTGCTCTGACCATGCGGAGATCTTTTTCTGGGCCAGAGGAGTATCTCTTCTATAAGACTTATCAGTAAAAAAGCCCTATATTCTTAAGCTGTAGACATACCTTCTCATTGTCAAACTTCTTTAAAAGAATCTCGATAATAAGCAGTGACTGACTAATCGAGCTTTTCCCCTCTGTGTATAAAGTAGCCTCGGCGAATGTCTCTAGGAACTGATGTGCTCTGTCGAGAATCTGCCAGTCCTCCCCAGTAAGCCGGTTAGCTCCAAGAGCTATTTCATGCTGAAGCATGAATTCGATGATCTGGGGCTTCATCCTTTTCACTCGGCCGATGAAGTAGTACCATGAGTTCCAGCGGGTGCGATTGTCAATCCCTAGTTGCAACCCTACAGTATCTCGCCATAAGTCCATGTAGATATTGGAGTTGCGGAGCATTTGAGCAAGACTATGGAGTTTGCGTAATGCTGGGATGTTCTCAATGCCCACAAAGTCATCGGTAATAGAATCCTGACTTGCTACACTCCTAGCTGTGTTCGCGCGGCGCCGTTTGCCAGTTTGACCTCTTGATTCTGAAGACTGAGCTTGTACAGCCTGAGCCTTTTCCGCCACACGCTGCCCAGCCTCACTTTTTCGCCTCTCAGCTAGCACATCTGAGAATGTGTTCATAACCTCTTCCCCCTCAACTTCAGCAGCCTCAGCGAATGCAGCTTCTAGTGCTTCTTTCGATGACGCGAGTAAAAATGCTTGAAGACTGAGATTGATGATATGGGCTATGCAACGAACGCGTCGTTGCTTTGCATTAAAGATAATGCCTTTAGCATAAAGTAGCTGTTCAAGATGCTGCAAAGTAGTGTTGTTTGAGGTGGCATTATCTCCAGTATGCCAGCCGATCTTTGGCGCAACGTTATAGTTTTCTAGGACCTGCAGAAGCAATTCAGCTTGATGCTCTCCGCTGTGGGTATAGCGACATTCTGGGAGGGCGAGCAATGCTGTCTGAAGCTCACAGTTCTTGTCCACCCATTGTGCGGTGATCCCGAGAAGAGAACGGCGGTTCGGCGATGACCAAAGATCAGAGGAGATGTGAATAGAGCTGACTGCAGTCTGTAGACTCTCTTTAATCTATTCTCGATAATAGACTTCATTCGTGATAATCATGCGGAGGAGCGAACGACGGGTTTTAATGAGTTGATCCTCGATAGACGGATTGGCAGCAAGAGAGAGCTCTTGGAACTCCTTCCACTCAATAGCGGAGAACGGAAGCCGACGCTGTGTAAAGAGGGCGGCAATGGCATCATGATACCGTGGTAGGCTGAACACATTCCGAATAGAATCAGGCGACGGAGAGGAGGAGAAAAAGGAGGTAAATTTTCAAGGATTATGTGTGAGAGTGTTTTCAGTCGTAGACTCAGGAGCTGGGCTCGATGATGCGAATTGCGGGGTGGGACCCGGTAGTGGGTGATTATGCTGAACATGTCGGACAGCATTCATGCGATGGTTTCCAGAGAATGGTCGAAGAACGCAAACTTTGCAGTATAGATAGTGTGACCCTCACTACCTTTCTTCCCAGACGGAGCCTCCTTTGAAACCTCTATATAGGAAAAGAAATTCGCAGGTAGAGATGAAGATAAGCAAGCAGCAGGATGGGACATGATGTAGAGATATATTTATTCGAAAGGCATGCAAACTACAAGCTTATAAGGATAAAGGTTGTGGTGTCTATACACCCGGTCTGACCGGTTAACCAGTTTGGCTAAATCATTCAAACCGGTCAACCAAAACCAGCCGAAAATGCAGACCGACCAGTTAACTGGAACAACTGACTAGAACAACCGACCATTTTGCCCATGTATGATGTCCACGTCGATGTCAGGGTGTTGCCCTGCCTGTGTCTCAAGAGTGCAGCTTGATCTGGGCTTGAAGCCTCGATCACTTCTGCGGGGACTATGGTTAGTCTCTGGATTACTGTCCAATTCACTCAGCCGACATAGCCACCGTTTCGCTATGCGAGACAAGATGAAGCTAGTTTAACGTCCAGAGTGGGAGGCGCAGGCGCCTGTGGGTACCTTCACGGAGCATACGCGAGTAGTCGCCGGAGTCGACTCCTATGTGCACGGCAGTGTCAGTACCAGCGAGTCTGTCCGGCTGGATACCTGCATTTTCCAACCCTTCGTACGCAAGCTCGAGGCCTAGCCTTTGATGCGAATCCATGTGCCCGGCTTCTGTGGGCGAGATGTCGAAGAAGACGGCGTCGAAGCCTTCAAGATCGCCGAGGATGTATCCTTTCCGCGTGACGCTGTCAAGGATCTTTGCGTCAAGCGTACTCCGCTGCCGCCAAGGCTACCATCGATGTGGTGGAATCTCGCCGGGCGCGTCTCTCTTTTGCAACAGAAAGTCCCAGAGAGTATCCAGACTGTCGACCCCCGGCCGTCCGGCACGATAGACCAACGATAGCAATCTCGTTCATAGACGTCTATTGTGATCATCAGTGGCTGTGGGTCCGCGTCACGTGGGGGACCCAGCGATCTTCCTTATGTAGAGCATGCGTAGTATTGCTCGATGTAACCAAGGTGTCTTACTGCACAGTACAGTACACGTCTGTTGTTGCTGACATCGCATGGTCGACATAATGTGCGCTGTACTGGAGCTGTCCAGTGGTGGCTGCATGATCGATAATTCCCGTGTAAGACGATCAAAAGAGAGGAAGGCTGTCTCAGACGAGTGGAGATCTGTCGTGGTGATCTGAGAGAAATGGGCCGTCGAGGAGAATTTCGGCCCATGGCATTGCTGACAAGAACTAGCACTGGTTGGGTGAGGCCATCATGAGGCGAGAGAAACTCAGCGTAGGGCCCAAGGTCGGCTGCTTACAGAGTCTGGAACATGCAAACGATTGCTGTTACTTCGTCCTGGGTCGCAAAGGACTGAACTTAGCGGTGTAAGCGCATTCTCAGGGGACTATCCGGTCAGCATCCACAAGACACGAGATCCGGACAGCGATTCTGGTGAGTTTTATGCCCACGGGGCATAAGTATTATGGCCTCGAGTTTGTCGTTGAAAAGACTTCGAACAACGTACTTCGCCGAGCTTGCTGGGCAATCGATGTGACACCCCATCTCACGATCGGCATACAGAGACCGCTTGTGACATCTAGCTTACTCGATGGACGTAGCAGCGGTCACGACAACGCGCAAATACAAGATCTCACTCAGTATCGTAGAGCAGACCACCCATTCTCCTGCTGATGTCCTACATGATTTCGATCGCGATCATGAGAATCTTGGGATTGCAGCTGCATAGTGTCTTGTACCTTGGACTAGTTTATCGCTGGCAGTTCTTACAACTCTTAACACGCGCGGTTGTTCACTCGTCTCCGCACTGGCACTCAGAGCATTCACTACCGCCACAAAACGTTGCAACATCCTTTCTTTATTCTCGCTTTTGATTTTGCTTCATACGTCGAGACTCAATGCGCAAATCCAAGACGAAGCGTGGTGACGACCGAACCAAGATTGCCACGTCGACATCAGCGTCGCGAGGCTCAGCGTGCGGCGACGGCCACAAAGACCCACTCCCTATCTTGAAAGAGTTACTCCCGTGGCCAATTTCACTGCTTGCCGCGTTTGCAGACTCCGGAACCATATTGAGTGGATCGAGAGCCGTTGGCGGCGCACACAACGAAACGTCGGACTTTGACCTTTATCAGATTGCAGACAAAGGAGCTCTCATTAACATTGTTTCTGTCCTTAACTTTGCTCGTATACAATGGCACAATCTTCTACTCTGTCAGGTCGAAGACGAGGTGGTTGCGCATGGGCTAGCCGTGATCCCGATGGAAGAAATCGATCGTCTTGTGGTGGGTGTGTTTCATGGGAGAAATTGGGGGAGGCAGCAGGACATTGAAGAGTACCTGACTTCGGTATTGAAACGATCAGGGTCCTACGAAAGATACAAAGACCTCCCAGCCCAGTTTACTCTTGCTCTGGAAACGTGTTCCGGCCCGACTTGGGAAGAGAATAGGTTATGGGTATACACTCCTGGGGCTGACTCGGGCCGATGCATTCGCAAACTCCCTTCAGCAATCACCGAGCCCGTGTCCGAACTACTCGAAGCCCTGCCGAACTATTCGAACGTTGATGACAAGGACTTACTCGAAGAAATTCCTGACGAGAAAGCAATGGAAGGAGTCAAAGAAGCCTGGAGAGCTGAAGGATATGCAGACCCAATGCTGCGTAAATGGCTCCGTTATCAGACGATCGACCGAGCGCCATGGGTGAGAGAGGAAGTCGAAACTCTTCTCAACACGATACTGCATGTTAATCAGACTGAATCGCGACCTACGGACACTGAACCGCAATTTGCGAAGCTGTATGGTCCGTTTAAGATACTTCGGGGAACATTACCGAATAAGAAGCAAGTACAGCTTATGCTTATACCCCCGAAAAGAAATGATGGAAAACGGGAATACGGGATCATACGCACCGTCCTCGACTAGCACGCGACTCACCCCATGGCGTTCATTGGCGGCGCCCAAGGGGGCCACCTATACTATGACACCGCGAGCCAGGGAATAAGCTTGAAGCTTGACTTCAGGAATGACCCGAGGCATAAACACGCTGAGGAGGGCATCGTGAAGATGGAAGAAAGAGGTTGGACTTTTCGAGACATGGGTAAACATCGTCTCGGACGAAGCGCTTTGGATCGAAGCACCCATTTGACTGAATACGAGGATATCTACAAGTCTGCACGCGAGCGTGTAGGCAAGAGCAACGAAGAACTTCCAAAAGAGTGGAATCAATATTTTGGCGAAAGACGGCGGGCAGTCGAGACGTACACTTGGCTGGAAGAAGATGGTCGTATTACGGAGATCAACAACATCGCAGAAAGCACGCTTTCCCAGTTGGACCCTCCCGAACTATTGTCCAACTGGGTTCACGACAAGCTGAGCGGTCACGAAGACGTGATCCCAAAAGACCAGTGGGAGGCAAGGGACCTTCTCAAGGCGGAATTGGATCTCTGGTTTGGCGGATACAAGCAGAAATGGGACGATGATCTATGTCACCTTTTGTAGACGCATGTCCAAGCATAACTAGAAGCTCTTGCGAACATTTGTTCCTTTGTTGTCTAGATGATGAATCTTTCTTTTACAGTTTATCTGGGTGATTCTACCGTTGTAGTAACCGCCGGCTCGTAGCAGAGAACAAAACCATATTCCCTTTGACTTATCTTTAATTAATGCCTTACTTTAATCTTGCCGCTACTCCATTATCATTCAGATTGCCGATCTTGGGCAGAGCCAGTATTTCGTCAACAACGAAATGTGGCAGAGCTTATTCAGCAATGTGTTGAACTTGCAGTATCCCAGCGTTGTCTTGTTTTGGGTCATGACCACTCCATCGTTTGCGGTGGGAACTGCGGTCTTGTGCCCCTCTTTCCAAACCATGCCCGTGAAACCCATTGCTGTTGGAACGCAGAAAAAACATAAATACCGCCGTGCCAATCGACCACTGCCCTTGGTTGAGAATCCTCCCCAACAGCGTGTTCAACTTATTACGAACGCTCATGCGGCTAGCACCCTTCCTGATGCGACCGCCGTTCTTGTCTGCCTTCGCAAATGCATCTGGTACTGCACTGTGTCCTATCGATGATAACAACGCTGCATAGCTTCGAGTGGTCCTCAAGTCGAGGTCATCATCGAAAATCGCAAAGCCGTTCAATAGATGCCCGCCGTGCTGCGCATACCTAGCGGAGTGGCGCGACATACGTTAAAAGGAAGCAGACATGAGAAAAATTACTGTTCAGATAACGAGTACAGCAGTGGTGCTATGTCTAGTATCTCACTGACAAACGTCCAGAGGGTGAAAAGACAGTAGCCAGGTACATCGCACAGGGGCAAAGGGTTTCGTCGTTGCGAAGAGCCGCTTTTAGATGCAGAGAGCAAAAAGAGAACGATTTATCATACCATATCTCGAATGCCTGCCGAGCGGACCAGCTATGTCAGACTCTCATGCAGCACGTGTGGCTATCATAATTGTACTGATATCAGCATTGGAGGCAACACGCGTGTAGATATTGCATCTGGGCTCTGGGCCCAATGCTCATCTGATCAGCCGTTCATCTTCTCTCCTACTCTTGTCCTTGAACGTGGGACCCGCTGTCATTACACGTATAGGGATAGTCTTGATTTTCTCACTCAAGCATTGTATTACCCGGACCCTCTTTGGAATGTAGATCCACAGGACCCAGCACATCTCACATACAGAAAGCACCGTATACCTAAGCACTGCTTTTCGTTTGGTACGCCTCCGTGACAGTCAATCATGGGAAATTCATCCGAGCTGTGTTTGGTGAGTGAACAATGTATGGCTTCCGGGATGTGCTTGATCACCAACACTCGTGTGCCATCTGGCGACAGAGTCTTGTCGCAGGTATTGTAGTCGCGCCACAACTGGAGTATGATGTGTAATAGGTTAGTTAGATTGAACGGAGATCTTCATGTCCATCAGGCTTCGAGTTGGGGAGACTAATGCTCACCTCAATACGTACGACGGCCGTGGGAGAAGGATCAACGTCAGGTTCCACCCTTCTATGGGTAATCTCCAATACAATGGGTAGACTTGCGTATTACACAAGGCCATGTAGTATCTAGAAATATGGCGTATGCAGGAGGATGGTCCAGTTTCCAGAGGGCGTACTAGAGTCTACTGCTGATCTTCTCGAGCTTCGGGCTCCGCACCTGCCATCACGTTCTCAGCTGCGGCTCTGACATTCTCTCGACTCTTGGCAGAAGACACAAGCTATCCTGGTTCTGGAAGACTGCATATCAATCTGCCATGTGCATAGCTTTGATGATAATTCGACAGACCGTAATCTGCTTACGCGTCATGCTTGCTTACAGCAAGCGAGCCAACGTCTTTGTTCCTGCAGTCGTGAGAGTCATCACCTCTATGGCCATCTCGACCCTCCTCCTGGTGATATATAATACATCACTACCTACCCTGACCTGCCGATTCCCAAGTCTGCCTAGTGATCACCCTATTGGTAACGTCTTCTGGTCAGTCATCGCGGTCCGACAACCATGAAGAGCTGCAAGCACGGGTCCTGGCTGTCTCTCCACGGGAAGAAGGAGATCTTGTTTCACTGTGCTAGTACTTTGAACGATATAGTCACGAGCCTCGACAAGCCTGCCAGCAAGAGCCCGAGTCTGATCGTCATGCTTGGTAATATTGGCAAGGGAACATTGTTAGCCGATGCGCTCCCCGCTACCAGAGAACGCTTGAACAGTCGATCGACTCAGGGAGTGTCTTTACAACTAGACTCCGCTACTGCCTTCAGTGATCGTCCCATGCTGGTTGCACACGTAGACATCTCGAAGCGGAATACGTCCGTAGCAGAGCCCATGCCCGCGCCCTGTCACCGCCAAACGGTACGTGCATTGCAGTGGCAGGTGGATAGTTCAGCTGAGGCATTCGATAGTCTACATCGTAGACTGATACGCCCGTTCACGGACGTGGTGTGTTTCTTCTCCACGGGGAGCCGTGATGTACACCATCAGGTCGATCGGATGATGCCATGGCTCGAGCAAACACCCAGCCAAAGACCACACGTCACAGCGCATCCTCGACTGCTTTTTGTAGCGGCACCTTCTGAAGAGCAGAGCGAGGCGAGTGTACAGGACGAACTGGTAGATCTTTTGCACACGCGACTGAAACAGCCTAGATCTGACTTGTCTTCCCGCCTCTCTGTATACGTCAAACATGCTAGCACTCAGACGCTGACAGATCGGATCAAACGCGAAGTAGACATTGCCAGAAACGAGCGCGTCCGCGACTATACCCTCTTGAACGCTGTGCACTTTGATCTCCTGTTCCGTCAAGCTTGCGACCATTTTGTCAGCAGCGGACGGGACTGCTTCGATATGGTCGCTGCGTCGCGGTCGCACCGGCCCGTATCAGCACGTCTGCAGACGTATCTGAGCGTTCTTTTCGACTTAGTAGATAATCTGGACGACATAACGGAGTTTGCGGTTCCATTTGTTGCGGGCTGTCTGGTGGTAGACAACTATGCATACGACGTGCCCAGTAAGTATCCTGTGCAGACGAGCAACTTGAATCTGCTAACAAATCCGAGTCCTCGACCCTGTCAAGGTATTTTCCGCTCATTACAAGGCCGCGTGTCTGAACGCAGCCGTAAACAAAACCATAAAGTCTTCGAGACATCAGGATAATGTGGTGTTGCTGCTCCGCAGCCAGTTGGTGTCTCTCATCGAGCAGCGCTTCGTGCAAAGAAGTAAAACACTCTGCACCAATCCGCGCGCGCAACTGATGGTAGAGTTCCAGCCCTGGCTAGCGACGAGGAAGCCGCATACGATTTGCTTAGCCTGCATACAAGTAGACCCAGAGCATAAGCTCAGGTGTGGCCATCTGATCTGCGAGAGGTGCTTCGCAGGTATGGCTACCTGTTCCCAGGCAGATCCCTATCGTTACACCTTGGACTGTTGTCCTTTTTGCTCCCAGGCTTGCCAGGCTACTGTGCGTACGAAGCCTGCCACTGCCGGTTTACGAGTGCTGTCTATTGACGGTGGTGGTATTCGCGCTGCGATTCCCATCCAATTCCTTTGCGCGCTCGAAAGAGCAGTAGGTCTCGATATGCCGATTCAAGAACACTTCGATCTTGCCTACGGAACGGGTTCAGGTAGGTTGCTGCAGAGAGTTTGTATCCTTTGGTCCGCAGTCAGCTCATGGTTGTACAGGCGCGATGGTGGTTCTAGCGCTTTACGGTCTGGGCATGCGAGCTGAGGAGACTTTTACTCTCTTCAGCCAGCTGTCAACACGCATATTTCGCGGGCGGAGCCGACTTGGCTTGGGACTTGCTGCCACAGCCCATGCCCTCATCACTTCGTGTCGCAACGGCCGGTTTCCTGCCAGCGACATCGATGACGCTTTGATGGAGATCTTCGATGAAGCCACCATGCTAGATCTCGAGTACATGTCTTCGATCGGGGCACGAGTCGGTCTTCCCGTTGTCGATGTCGACACACTAGACACGTGTCTGGTGACGAGCTACAACGGGGCTGCTCCCCAGTACGGTGACGATGCATGTACAAAGATGTCAACATATCGAGTCTTGCGCTCAGAAGATGTTGCTGATGAGATACACGTCAAGGATGCGTGAGTTGCTTCTCTACTATCTAGAAATCTGATGTTAACATGATGCCACAGCGCACGATGTACATCGGCGGCTCCCTGGTGAGTGCTATATGTGGTAGCCGATTGACTGACGCCTGACAGCAATAGGTATTTCACGCCACACAAGATGCCTGGCCATGGCACATTCATGGACGGAGGGCTAAGCGACAACAACCCCTGCATGCTTGCCGTACAAGAACTCCAGAAGATGGCTCCTAGGCTGAGCCGTGCTGACCACTTCGTGTCCGTAGGAACAGGCATTTCGACCACGAGAGAGGTAGCCAAAGCCGACGCCTACCCCAGCCTGCTGTTCGGAAACAGCTCTCTGCAGCAGACCGCCAAGCACTACTGGAGCGAAAACTTCGATGGCGACAAGAAATTCGCCCTCATGCGCCAGATTCTGGCTACATCATTGCCCGGAGGGGTTGCTAACGTAGATAGATGGCTCCATCGGTTCAACCTACCCGTAGAAGGTGAGCTGCCTGATCTAGCTGACGCCTCTGCCATGGGGAATCTCGCTGAAGCAGCTCGTTCTCACTTTACGACGGACTCGGCTGTGCGTGACTTGGCCGACGCTGCACTCGCTCTCAGCTTCTACTTTGAGCTACGACCAGGACGCATGCCAATCTACGAGCGTGGCTCCTACACCTGTTACGGCTTGATCCGGTGTCGTATCCCCGGGATCAGTCCCGCGTTCTCCACGTTGATGCAAAAACTCGATTATCTAGACGCTAACTTCCAGATCCAGATGCAAGTGTGTGATTCAAGACAAGCCATGTCAACGTGGATCGATCGGCATGGGAACTTTGGCCAACCCATATGTTTGCGCGTTTCCTCGCTCAACGAAGAACTAGACGTTCGCTTGAGACTGCACGGGGACCGTGTTCATCCTATAAGCGCTTCACCACTAACGTTCAAAACCTTGATCGATCTACAGATGCTCGAATGGAGTGCGCTCAAAGATGTGCACACCACTGCGAGCGTTACAGGCAAGAAAAGACGACTAGACGACTCGCCCCTGCCGGCAGGTAAGCGACGTTGCTAGGAGACGACGTGAGACTGTGTATGCTCTGACCCCTTTCCGCGTGCATGCTTTCTACACTCACTTTGAACATGGGGTGGATGACCCGCCACAAGAGTGGAACCACCAAGATGACGCTGCGAATGAGTGCCGTGTGCGGTCCTACCACATCGAACGATGCTGGCATAGCGTCCAGTGAACAAAGCCATATCCAAGAAGCAAGCTCGGCTGCCCTAGACATGTCAGCGTGAAGCACAAAGTAGGGTTGAGTGTTGATTCAGCGACAGGTACCAGAGCATCCTGGCCTGAGAACAACCAACTCTGGCACGCTGTTTCTGGTGTCTTCGCAGAAGTCAGACGTATGGAGTCGGAGCTTTTGTAATTACTGACAACGGCACATGCTATCCGGTATCTCCAAGGGTAGCCGGAGCCTTAGCAACAGCTATAGATGACTGGATATAGATGTGAATACGGTAAGACATTGTTGTCACGCAGCTGTCGTCCGCGGCACTGATTATGTGATCTGGTGGCGAGATGCTGCTCTCCAGGCATCACCAATGCTGACAGGGAATGCGGAGCAGCTGCGATGGCGGATGCCTATCCCTTCTCACCCTCCTGTCTATATAATTACCACATCACGATGGTGTACTCGGAGCATAAGCTTTTCCCTCCGCTTCTATGTCGCCAATATTGTTCCTACCGCAAGAGCTCTTGTTCGCGATCTGGGCTTACCTTCCCGTGGACGGACTACTCGCTCTGAAGCTGACGCACCCAGCTATCAATGACAGACTACGAATCGACCCGCAATCATGGCCGAAACACAACATCTCGCAATGTGCGCGTCTGGCAATACGCACCTACCTTGCGCCCCCAGATCCTGAGCCTACGCAAGAGTGGTGCATCTTGTGTCACACAAAGTATCCAACCAGCATGTTCTGCTCATCGAGTAGCCCAATCTGCACCCGTCGCTCTCGCATTCAACAAGCTACAGAGGTAGAGGTACTCGAGCTCCCGTCGAGGACGTGCTGCTGGCATGCTGGTCGTCTGACGAGGCTCGTGAGAAATGCACCCGACAGAGGAGATGAGTGGGTCAGCTGCTTAGAGCTAATGTGTATGCATTGTGGATCGATTCAGGGCTGGAGGAAATGTGTCTGCGACTGCGACAGCTGTGCGTTCCGGACCGTGTGCACTTACACGCGTTTCTTGAACAAGGACACGAAATATAAAAGTTTTACGTTTTGGAGGAGCAGTGAGAGATGCGACGGTGTCGCTAGGGAGGGAGGGCTTCAGGGAACACTGTACGCCAGAGAAGTCCACTACAACCCTGGTGCGATTGTCTCGCTGCACAGCAGACCTGAACACAGGCTAACCTTGACCCAGACACGTGTAATGTAGCCTTTACAGTAGATCTGCCGGTACGATTCGATCCTGCGCAGCCCTGGCTGTTGAGCGTTGCCGATCATGGTCGTCAAACAAGCGTCAGCACTTTGGCTTGTGTATAAGCACGGCTCTACACTGGGTAAGCATCATACATTGACTGGGGCGGGAAACACAGAGATAGGCGATGCAGAACATAGCTGACTTGCGCCAGCGCGTATCGCCATGGAGCGAGAGGGGCTTAGCATGGGGTGCAAACATCTGGCTTACGGTGATTGCACAGCGAATGAGGGGTCCCATCGGCGAACTCGCATGCACTAACGTCCATCGCCCGTAAGCGAGAAATGCCCCTCAGCGAGATGAATCTAGCTTCAATCCAAACCAATCCTCACCACACTCACTTATGGACTTGCAGCGTATGCGCTCTTGTTCTTCGGGTCTTCCTCTGTCGCCTTGCACCTTGTGATGATCAAAACACGGTGGTCGTGGTCGCAACGACAGCCATGTCGCACGCGCTGCGCTCAGAGCCACTTTGGTTCTCACCGCCGCTCGATCACTGCCAACCCCATGTTCCGCAATCTGCAACTGCTATGGCGATGGATGTGACCGAGGTGCACATCGTCCCTGATCTTCAAGATGCCTGAGCTCAGAGAACATGTACTCCGAGCTTATCTCCGTGTCAAATTGGCCTCCGCTTGGTGTCACAGCTCGACCCCAACTATCCTCTTTTCTCTGCTGCAATGTGGCAGTAGAGACAAAATGTAGACGCACTGCAGTTTCAGATCTCTAGAAATGTATGGGGAAGTGTGAGGTGCCTGTAGAGTTGGCTCATCTCGCTGAGGGGCATTTCTCGCTTACGGGCAGGGGACATTAGTCGCCTTACGCAAACCGCCCTGACCCGAAAGGCTCGTGGCTGACACAGGCCCATGCTGACAAGAGCTAGTGCTGACAGGGGAAGAGCATCAGGAGAGTCAGGCATGAGCGTAAGATCAACGATGTAATCGATACGGTAGCCACGTCCACACAGTGTGGCTCATGGCCAGCCTGGAATCAAACAGGTCTATTCTCATTCTACCATGATATGACAACCGTCGCAGACAAACTCGCTAACTTGCCGTGCGTAGGAGTAATAAGTAGGGATACAGGTAGACTTACCGGACCAGGTTAGAGTATGCACCACATGGCAGCACCTCTGGAGACGGGAGCATAATCGACATCGCTCCCAGTGGGTGAGCAGCAGGCCCCGAGAGATTTATCGGCACGGGTCGAACACGAATGAGAGCACCTCGGATCTTGAAGATCAGAGATAGTTTCTATGGAACTGATGAATCCCACTCCTATCGTGGGCGAAGCCTCTTTGAGCGTAAAGCTAGGTAGCATCGTGTTACGCGATGATCTCGTTCTCTATAGCTCGCCAGTGCACGCAGTCCACCGTTGTAGGTTGCTGTCATTGCAGGCTCTGAGACTACGTAGCTATGTCATGGTGATAAATCCTTGATTTGCCTGTGCAGAAAGTGGCGTGCTAGACAGTCAACGAGTAAGCCGCTGCTCGTGGATCTAGTGTTGACCAGCAGTACGGCATGCCTCCACACCGCCCACCCAAATCAAAAGTCTTGCTCCTCACAGCCGTACTATAGCGCTCCATCGCGGATCGGAAATCCGCTTCCGCCTTCTGCACACCGGTGGGCATCCTCGCCAGCATCGTTGTGTTGTCAAACATGTGTACGATCGTGTGGTTGCTGTCGACAAGACTGGGGCGGTTGAAGTCTGCCGCCAAGGCGATTTGGCTGATAGAAGCTTCTACCGGTGGCAAGAAAGGCATAATATCGTGGGCTACTTTGGAGGTCGGTAGGGGCGAGTAGAATGCGAAAGGGTGGAAGGGGAGGGAGCCAGAGGCACCGACGAGGGCGTTTGAGTTGAGCGTGCCGTGTACAATGGATACCAAGTGCGCAACGTGTGTCAAAACATCGACGAGAGCGCGCTGGTTCTCGATGGAAGAGGGGAAGTCAACAATCCTGGCAGGTTCGGCTTCCCTGACCCATGCCTGCAGCTCAACATCGCCGGTAATGTTGCTCACATTTGGGTAGTACGACTGGACGAAGACGGTCATGAAACGGCGGACGGCGGCATGGATAGCGGAGGCATCCTGGTAGAAGGGAAACGTCTTGATTTTGGGCCCGAACGCGGAGTCGATCAAGCCGCGTCTTTGCAGATTGGGCTCGAAATAGTTGGACTGGAAAGCGCTAGCCTCGCCCGACTGGTATAGCGTATCGGTGTAGTTTCCTGCTTCGCTACCGTCCCAGGGGAACAGTTGGTCAATGGGACCACCGGAGTTGAGCAGGCGTTGAACAGCCACAACTCGGAACGCCCAGGCGTCCTTGAATACTGTGCAGATGGTGTCAGTGTTCGTTTGGAACTCTAAGCTAGGTGGTGGGGCTCACGTCGATGGAGAATGGCCATGATGGGATGTTCGTCGCTCAGTGTTCGGATAGCGCTCAGGTACACAATCTCGCCCACCACATGGGTAGCTGCAAGATGATACCACTGTGCATGCCAGAAGCTGTTCAAGTTGAACATCATCTTCGCCAATAACCAGTCGTTCGGCAGGTCCTGCGGTGTGTAGACGAGGTCGGAGCCTTCTACATTCGGTTTTATGGCGAGCGGCAGGAAGTCATGAGAGGCTGGGTGGATGTAGAAGTAGGCCTGACAAGCAGCGCCATGTTTGCCGGCAGTCTTACGCAGATTTGCTTGGTCGAGGAAGTCGGTCAGGAACAGACGACCAGCCTCCTGGAGAGATGGCAATGTTTGACCAGCGACTGCTTTCGCGTTGGAGACAGCGAAAGGAAGTCGTGCGTCTTTGGGAACGCGCGAGATTCGGTATGGATTTTCGGACAGCTGGGTCATGGAGAAAAGTAGGTCGTCTGTGTAGTTTGTCAAGATGCCTGGATAGGGTCCTTTGGGCGCCGAGTGCTTCCACTGGCCTTTGTACAGCTTTGCGTAGTCGTCTATGGCATTCAGCCCGCCCGCCTGGCGTACGTTAGTTGGGAGGACTGGACACTGGGTGTACTTGGCTTACGCACTGCTACGACAGACGCTGCGGCTATTCTAGAATCGTTGACAACATTGGCATACACTGTATCTTGGAAGTCGCTAAAGCGATCCGCCATCTCCTTCGCGGCAGGACCACCTAAAGAGCCTGCCGGGTAGAACGCTGTGTTCCCAGCAATCGATGGCCCATACTCCCATCCCGCCCGCTTCTCTACGAGCGCAAGTGCACGCGTACTGCTGCTTGAGGCGTTGGGGATCGTGAACGGGGAAAGAGTCTGGTGCGGGCGTTGAACAGAAGGTTCACGCACAGGTGTGCTTGCGTAGAGCATGAAATAGATCTGGTTCCGCATTTTGGCGAAGAAGATAGGGTAGGGCTGTGTAGATGGACGAAACAGCAGACAAGGCATCTAGGTCCTTTTTGACGGATACGCCCATGGCTTTATCTACGATCGCGTAGAATGTGATTGCGTTGTGCTCGTAAACACGAAGAGAACAAAGCAAGCGGTATGATCCAGATTCCATGTTGCAGAGTCTCATCTAGTGATCAGCGCGCTTAGTGTAGTGAGAATGGAGCTACAAGCCCCGTTCCACCGTTGAGGGCGCCGTATTCACCCTGAGAGCCACACTATCTTGATGCCATAGTAGTGCATGGGCTTGTCTAGGAAGCCTTGTTTCCCGTAAGCCTCAAACGTTGGCAGGTCTGAAGAGCATTAGAGAGAGCTAGAGCTCGTGGGAAGGTCATCACGAGACAGGGGAAGTCTAGCGGAAGACGAATGGCATATCACGCAATTGGACATTGTACAGGGTGTATGCGGTTCAACACAAGCTTACATCCAGCTATGGAAGCCAGACGCAGCTTACGCCGGTACACTGCATTTTGTGAAATCGCTGACAGTAAGGCTCTCGTATAGTGTTTTCCATTGCCTAAGCCTTTCCCGTACACAGGGTCTGTCGACGGTAGATGCCACTGCAAGTGTATCTGAGACGACAGATGCTGCCCAAGATCACGTCTGGCTAACGTTGATCTATAAGGCTGTCTCGCCCGGTGTGTGTGGTCGAGACAAGCTCTGAGCACCCAGCAAAGTAAGTCTGCCGCCGTATTACTCTGGAAACTACTGAAACGAACGAAGATGTGGTATGATGGCCTCTTATGGGTCTTTGCAGGATTGGTGGTACTTGGCTTTGCTGTCTCCCAGAGAGGAAATGCTATGGAGCGTTACCGCGGGGTTGTGCTCCAACGTGGAGGCCGTCGACCGTTCCAGGATACTGGACGCGCCAGGACCGGGTAGTCTTCCTACCTTGCAGGCCAGCAAGTTCATACCGCCCTATTCAGGTCCAACTTCTACTCCCGATATGGCCACGGGCGTGTCGGCACCAGTCTTGAGGGTAGCTGTGCGGGGGGGACAGAGTGTCGCCAAAGGTATACAGGGTACATCACTTTCTTATCGAGGGCTATCGGTAGGCTACATGGGGTGATAGAACGACGACGGAGTCTGTCCATAGGGATGGCTGCTCTCGAACCAGACGAGCGCTGTGGTCAAAGCGATCTGGGCGATGGTTATCTTGATCCCGCAGTAATTAGTTCTAAGATTTGTCGCCTCTTCGTTCTTCGCATACAGCTCAGCTGCTATCAGTTGACGTTGCATGTGAGAATACGCTGCGCTATGGATGACTCAACTCAGCAACAACGCGGACCGACAACACGAGATCGCACGAGTTGATAGGCATTCATTTATCCTATGGGTGCATCTACGACCTTCCCACGTCCTGCCTCAAGACTCTTCCTGCGTCTCCGCTTCGGAGATGTCTGCGGACGCCAGTAGGAAATGTCCGAATGCCTCTGCCTTTTCAGCATTGCGCATTGTCTCTCTTCGCATATGTTTCACCGTCGTCTGTATGCTGTCAGAAAAAGAGCTCAGCGTGCTCTGCCTGCTGCCCATGAGGCTTTGCAAGTCCAGCCACTCGATCAAGACTAGGTCCGGCATGACAGGGACCTCTCTTCCAGGATAACGGAGCATCATGTTGCTCTGGCTGATGTCTGTGCAAATCAGTCTGCAGTCGACATGTAAGAAGTGGAATGCGCGAGCAGCCTGATCAGCCACGTGAAAGACTATCTCTTCAGGAATGGGATGTGAGGCCGCACTAGCGACGTCAAAGACCTGTTGAAGTGTTATGCCAGGCAGAATCAACTCCATACTGTACCAGGGCTCATTCGACGTGTTGTACTCGTAGAGTTCTGCAAAAAGAGGCCGCACGGATTCTGTCCTATTCTGCGACACGCGTTTCATCGCCTCCATCACGGCGAGCAGCCTGATCGTACTGCCTTTGATGCCCGAAGGACATCGTGGAAGACACAGCTTAGCTGCTTGTAGCGCTTGCGTGCGCGTGCCATCAGATCCTTTCCGATGTTGCAGGGTTCTGGTCTCTCGGATATGCAGCTTCGATTAAGTAGTTGCGGAGAAGACTATACCAAAAGAGCCGATTCCAGCTACACCCAGGGGCGAAAAGTGATCTTCAAAAGTATCCCCACACGCTTCTGGCAGACGATAATCCGCTGAATCGTGCTAGACATGCTCAACAGAGAGGCTGCGAACAGCGCTTGCGAGTACCTTTCTGCGAGATTTTTGCTCCCTATATGAAAGACCACTGTCTCACAGGTGCAGCGTTACTGTCATCATTCTGTCATGATGGGATCGTCTGGCCATCCGGACATATTCACTCTCCTTCGCGTGACACGGGTCACTGCGGCGAGACCTTTGAATGCACTGTCTATGCCTGTTGTCTTACGCGGTAGGGAACCAATCTAGCGAAGTGCGGGTAATTCTCACCTGGCTACATGTCGGTCGGCCATCTCATGCGATTTCCCGCACGTCAGACAGTGTGGCCGACAAGTCACGTAGGGATGGCAGCGCTGGTGCTGATGCATTATGCTGATGCATATGTGTGCAGGGTAGACAATGTACTTGCGTCACTACCTCGATAATTACCGTCATCCAAAGTCCCTGGCACGCATAAGCAGCAGCAAGTTGGAGCTGGACATTATCAGCAGAGATACTCATACCTGAACGCAGCAAGTTCCTACTCCAACACGCTTCTGCGGTCCAACAATCACTGAGGAAGTTCTCTGATGCGCAGGTTCTCCAGACCCGTCTAGTATCGATAATAGAACGACTAAAAACGTCCGTCGTAGAATGCAAGTCTGACTGTACCATCGAAATAGTTGAAATACTGCCGCGATCATCAACTGCGGTAGTGATACACCGATAGTGACTGAAGACCGCGGCTGCGGTATCTTTGCACTCCGTGGCCTCGACGCTTAGGGTACGAGCAGTAGCCCGTTACCGTCGCACCGATGGGTAAGATCAAGCGCGTCTCGTGCATTGCCACGCCTATGCTGCTTACAGTCGTGTCCTTAATTTGCTTCCTCGTTGTCGCGTTGGCGCAGATTTCTCCTGGCGGCCACAGCACACCGCTCGAGCGAGATCTCTACTTCTTCAAGGTACCTTGCCCTGTCCCGTACCGATAGTTCTAGCGGCGTGTATAGTTAGACACTGACAGCGAAAGATAGGCAGACACAAGCCGCATAATGCTAAGTCCCCAGAGCTTGCTGGATAGCCTTCCTGGTAGCGTCTTTGGCATCGAGGTTCCTGACGCCCTCCAGAGCGTAGCGAAATCCGGGCATCTCAAAGACTTCTACGTAGTGGGCCTCTTCAGCTACTGCGAAGGTGAGACCGACACGGAATCGGGAAAAGAGACGGTGACGCACTGCAGCGCCTGGAAGTTGCCATTCTACTTCGACCCTGTGGCTGTCTGGCAGCTGGAAAATACAAGCGTGCAGGAGATCCTGGGGGAGCCATTTGCCAAGGGCTTGAAGATGTACCGAAAAACGGTCGAATGGACACATTACGCCTTCATAGTCGTGTTGGCGCTGACCGTGTTAGAATGTGTAACGGGGTTACTTGCCATCCGTAGCAGAGGGCATAGTTTGTGCGCGACCGTTGTTTCCTTCGTAGGCTTTCTATTCTCCTCGTCCGTCCACTTACTGACATGTACGGCTAGGCGCAGACTATGCTTGCCATTGCGGCAGCAGCAGTAGCGACCATCACTTATGTTACGCTGACGGGTGTCTTCGAGACGGTCTTGCGCCCATACAACATTGAGGCATCTCTGGGTGTGCGCTTGTTCTCCATTCTCTGGCTTGCTGTCGCCTGCTCCATCGCATCGAGCTTCTTCTGGCCTTTGAGTGCTTGCTTTTGCTCTGGCAAATAGACCCTTGCCTCAGCACTGCTCCGCTGGCGCCGAGGGTACGATGCGCCATGTGCTAACCGGGATGACGTATCTCAGCGTAAGTGCATATCGGGTGCTGTGGGTTAGGACATCGTTGGGAACGGTAACTGCAGTCGAAGCATCGAGATAAATATGCGTTCATCGGCGTCCGCCTGCACTGTTATGCGCACTGGGTTGATGAAAGCGCAGTGGTCTGTAGGCGGGTTGCAGGTCAAGTACCACACGTCTAAGTGCCGCATTCCATTACAGAGCACAAAGATGTAGCTAGTATTCATAAATGGTGCGTTGGGGCGTGTGCAGGTTACCACTCTCCTATATAAAAGACAACGTGCCTTCCTATTTGTCTGCGAACATTGGCCGACATGATTCCAACAGTTTGTGGCCTTGTAGTGGGTAGCATTGTCGTGGTGCCTTGCCTGTTCCTGAAACCGCACGCATCTAATTAGTCGAGCGCGCGGGTGAAGTCGTTCCTCAGCAGCGACCTTTGCATGGGATTCCGGAGTGGAGGAGTTCCAGCATATGGGCTCACGGAACACCACCGGCATGGGATTCCACCAGATCGGCCACGAGACCGCTATCCCGCTGGGCGATGTAAGCCGCTTATGCGTGCTGCTGGCCACATGGCCATGACATGTTGATATTGGCGGTCAATGCCACATTGTGATTACGCCGTGATCCGCAAAGTTACAACAAGCTACATCGTGTGCAGTTGTGCGTCTATGTTCTAGTCCAGCCAGCGCGATGGCGCTATCCCAGGAAGAAGCTGCCACCGTGTGGGACTTGGGGTAGTAAGCAGTCAGCGGCTTGCGAATGATCATTATAAGAAGGTATGCGCTTTGCCTCGCCCTCGAACGGTACTTAAAGTGCGACTGCGCTGACTTTCACTCGTTGCATAAACGATAGAAAATTATATCACACAAATAGACCTCGATGCCACCCACCACACGAAATTCGTTTGGAAAACCAAGAGTGCAAAAGACATATCCTAAGAGAACCTCCCTATTTCAGAAGTATAATGTTGCTGTTGTGCCTTCAGACAATGGAAGTCTCCCGAGTCTGCAGCACGTTGACATCTCCGCTGGTGATAAAACACAGCGCTTTAACACAGCTATGCTATCTGCTGTGACGGACACATCTTCGCAGCCCTCTCCGGCCGTGTCAGGCGCGAGAGGTGCAATACTCAGGAAGGAAAGCAGCAATTGTCTCGTCTACTTTAGCAATAAGCTAGTACACATGGATTACCAAAAGGCTAAGGATGAACGCCACCATGACAACGTCAAGGAAAACACTACAAAACTCCACTGTAAAGATGACGAGGCTGATCTAATAGCTTTGAAGACGAAGGAGGAGGACGTCAACGCGTTTTACTCAGAGATCGATTCCGTTTGTACCAGCCAGCGATATCATCCCAATCGGCGCAGCACAGCAATCAAGCTTAAAGGAGACGAAAGGGTGTACATAATGGCTCAGACCAAGGCGCAGAGTGTGTTGACGGGAGCTGTTTTTGACGAACACAACAACAAGCCCCACGCATCGGATCCGTCTCAGAGCAATGCAACACATACTAGCCCATCAACCATTCGCTCTATCGAGACTCCGTCTCCGTCACCAAGGTCAGGAGAAGATACCAAGATGGGAAATTCTCAAAAATGCAGTGGTAAGTATCTGGTAGTAGGGAAGGATCTTAAATTCCCAAACCAGGAAGGGGCCAAGGGCACTCCATGCATGGTCCGCGACGCGAATAACATACACACGATCATGTTATGGTCTGAAATTCAAGACGCGCAAGACAAAGGGACTGCTGTTTTTCAGGACACGGACTATAGCAACAACGGACTGCACCCTGCGGCGGACCGCGCATTCCTGAGCGACATCAAACATAAGGGGGAAAGTTCGAAAATAACGATGAAAGATGCTATTCTGTGGAAGTATCAGTCAAAGAAGAACAAGACGGTTTGGTATAAAACGGTGTTCTCCGTGCACCAAGATCCAGCAGAGATGGAGAAGCTGTACAGAACCAGGAACAAAGCTGGCGACGACAGCGGAGGCTTCATCCGAAGCAGTGCGAGTGCTTTCGTTAAGGCTGGCCAATCAAAGGCAGCTCTTGATAAGCACTTAAAGAACAAGTACCCCATACTGTGGGAAGAATACACCAGCAGTTTGAGCAAAGGGTCTGCTAGGGATAGGTCGGCAACGCCCGAAGCAGAAAGCTTGCTCTCAAGTTCCGAGTTTAATGGACTGAAAATCAAGGTTGAAGAATTGAAAATCACAGTCGATGGATTGAAGGAATGGATTCAACGTCTTATCGACGATAAGAAGTAAGCCCTGCGGTGATGAGGTGGTCAATGGCGTCAAATTCATGGGGAGTTCCAGGCCCACAACGAGTGTCTGCTCTTTAGTTACCCTACTGCTATGAAAACTATGCATAGAAATGGCTTTTCCGTAAATGCTGAACAAGTCATGCTAACGTCCTTGCCTATGTAGCGAGAAACCCGGTGTGCCGACCAAATGGGCTATTTTCATGCTTTTAAAAACGCTGCATTAAGTTGATGTTGATAGTATGATAAACTCATTGCCACGTCAGAACAACAAGCCCCTTTCGTTGTGCTTAACGTATATCTCTAGGTGCTGGGACACCCTCCGTGCTGGGACAAACGAGGGGTAACCTCCTTCCATACGCGGCGAACGACTCAGTGGGCCGGTGTTGGCTAATGAGAGGTAGCGTAAGATCGGGATATCTGCTCCTCTTGCGCTCTCATTGGCCAACAACGGCTCATTGGGTTGTTCGTCGCGTGAGGAGGTAGGTTCCTTCGCTGATGCATAGACAGTCTCGTGCACTCCTTTCCGAGCTAACTAACTTTATATCGACCTGACCCACTATGAAATTGTTCTCAAAGATTGGCCATTGTCTACACTTTCAATGGTGGCCATGCGAACATTGCCGGGCAGCGAATGATGTAACGCCCAATTCCCTTTGAGGCGTCAGAATGCGTCATGGAAGGCCGAGGCAACTACGAGTTCTATGAGTTGTATTCCGGCTCCATTGGAACACCTACATCAACTGGACTTGAACGTCATGTCATTTTCGATCCAGAAACCTCTGTATGATCGATGCCAGCCCCTGGCTCCAGTCCTACTCTCCTACCATCACTCTCACCCCCACTCTCACTATCACTCTCACTCTCACTTCCACTCTCACTATCACTTCCACTCTCACTCTCACTTCCACTCTCACTGTCACTCCCACTATCACTCTCACTTCCACTCTCACTCTCACTTCCACTCTCGTTCGCGTTCCCGTTCTCATTCTCACCCCCACTCTCACTATCACTCTCACTTCGACCTGCGTCTTCTTCATCTTCTGGAGAACTCGAGGTGTCCAGACTTCGGTCCTTGTCCTTTACGCTTGCCTGTTTTTCATCTGAACTCGCATCTCCATCCTCCCCCTTGCCTTCGGGAGAAGTAAGACGCCGGATCTCTTCCGCCGACCGGACCTCCAGCATCTCGTGAAATAGATTCTGCTGATTCTTTGGGATAAGTCCTTCCAACTCGCGTCTGTGATCTGGGGTCAAGTTCTGCACGAAGTCTTGTAGATCTTCTGCATTGCGCTTGATCATTGTTTGAAGATTTTCGATAGATTTCCTAAGTTTCTCGCTGCTCTTCTCATGCTCTTCTTGGCATTTCCTAAGTTCCTTGCCGGACTGCTCATGCACTTCCCCAGATTTCTGGACCTCCACGATTGTGCTGAGGAAGCGTTTCGCAAAATCTTCGCAAGCCATGATGCAAGCAGTGAGGCGAATCTTGCGAATCGGGGGATGGATTTATGCGAAGCTGGAAAGCAAATGAACAAGGGTATGAGAGAGGACGTTCAAGTGACGGTACTTGTCAAAGACACTTTGCGTGCTATATCAATCTGTTACATCCGGACAGGGATGGAAGTTTCCTGTCAGGCCCAACTCCTCATATATGACTTCGAGCGTGTGTAGTTGACAGCCGCGCATCAGCCGTGATCTCCCGCCACCATGACCACTTCCCGCGCCATACTCGGCGGGCAAGACGCTATCTGTTCATCTGGATTACGTACACTACATGAGAAAACGGCCTACTAATACTAGTGGCTGACGACCATCGTGACAAGCCTGGAGGCACCCGTACATAAGCAGATTCACAATGACCCATGAAAGTGATCCTCTTATCTTGCGAATTCAACTGCGCTTCTTTCTTCTAGGCGGTGAGAAAGCCTTGTCACAGGAAACGGCGTGTTGATGCGGACTGCCCACTACCAGCTGTAGATTAGATGCATAAGAGGGAAGAGGGACAGGTTAGTTCAGCATCATGCTTACATCTAGCAGCCGCCATGTCCTTTGCATAGAATGGGTGCATCGTTTATCAAACACATGTGGCTAGCAGAACAACCGTTCTTTTGTGCCGGTTCGCGGCCGGGTGCTGACAAGCGCCATGGCGATGCGACCGTCAGCACCCAGCAAGCAGCTTACACTACCCATTGGCATACCAGTCTTGTGGCATTCCGCCAACCTGGAATTCCATACTCGCGGAATTCCACAAGCCCACACATGGAATACCACGACCTGGAATTCCATGCGAGGATTACTGCTGACGGTGATGCTCATCTGCGCGGACGGACAGGGCTACATACAAGCTGCGGGCTTCAGGTGACAACGCCTGCAAAGACGAGACGGCTTCCCACGCTTCTCTCTCGCCCCTGCATCGCGATACACCACCCCGACACACATGATGCGAGGTCTCACGACGTACAGCCTGTCGAGGCCGCGGTCGGACTCGCCGCCTCTGCGGAGGCAATCGACGACGATGCATTTGCAAAGGCGTCGTTCGAGCTCACGCTCTGCATTCTAGGATCTCTCCTTATAGGGTTGTGGTGCTGAAACTAGGGGCTGTCGCGTCGCCTTGCGCGCTTGAGGTACGGCCGCCGCTCGGCTCGGAAGTTGTCAGTCAAAGCTAACGGCCGTCTTCGAAATCTTTCCCTTCCCGATGCAGCACCGACTTCGACCGACTACAGGCTCCTGCAGCATGAGGTCATGGTGCAAGCACGACGGCCAGAAGGGCTCGTGATCTCCTCAGTGCCCCTCCAGGCTCTTCACCACGCCCTTCCATGTGTCGTCGCGGCACCACACTGGTCGTCGCATCCTCATGCATACTCCTCTCAAACTGCCTATCCCCGGCCACGTTCTTGCCCAAGCAATAATTCACCGTTGCACGGCCCATGGTACAAGACGAGTGCGCAAACACGAAGGTGCTGCATTCGCAGTTCTCTAGTAGTCATGGCCACTCCAGGCATCGTTCTTTCCACCCACGGCCGCGCTCACGAGCACCATTGTATTCCTTGCAAGTCGTCTCGCTACCATCTACTGACCTGGAAGCACGTCGTCATCTCCCCCGAACAGATGAAAGCCATCCTGGACGAAGCTTTACCTCCTTCGTTTCAGGCGTTCATCTCCAACCAACCTATCCTTTCGCCAACAGTCGTAGCGCATAACCTAGTCGACTGGTACTGGGATCCGGACGAAGAGGTGTGGTTGGACCAGACACTAGAAGTCTTGGTGAATATCGGCGCGACTGCATTCTGCGTCGGGCTGTGCCGTGAACTAGATCAATTCGACATAGCGCTGAGCGGCAGGAAGCCACTCGGACAAAGCTTCCGGACAAGTGGCACGTGATTCTACAGTCAAGAAGGTACGCCTGCCGAGGACAGCGAAACTGCATCCGGTCGCGTCTACAGAAAGCAGATGAAGTTCCGGCGATCCAGCGGCGAGACATTCGGCCAGGCGATCGTCGCAGTGCAGTAAGTGGGAGCAGACGAAGCCTGTCGTACCAAATTGAGATTGACACTGACTAAAAGCAGGCTCATCGTTTCTCTGAGCACAATGCCCCCGTGGTATAGTACGAGGTTTTGCATTGCGCGATAGCGCCACCCCGCAGCATACGGTTTGATACTTTGCATTCATACTTTGCTGCAATGAAGAGAGCGGTGAGACCGGCGAGTTGCAATTGGTCCACCGTGGTATGTCGGCATGAGAGAAAGCGGTCGAGATAGTTGACAGCGACGAACAGAACTTCGGGTGGGAATTTCAAGTACATGCGGACCTCTACAAGCCATTTTCATTAATGTAGCGCGCATAGACCAATCGATGTCATCTTGAAGTTCCATGTAAGACGCGTCGGGCTTCCTATCTTCTCCGAGGAAGCGCATGTGTTTAAAAATCTCGTCGCCATATTCAGCATCGAGTAAAATATCCTGATCAACTTTTCTGTCTTTGCCTGTCCTGTCTGACTTGACGAATGCGCGAGCAACCTCTAGTTCTCGCTGCGTCTCCGGCGTCGATCTAGGCTCGAGGATATCTTCGTTGGCCCCCTGGACAGGGATGGCAGCAGTGTGCGTTGAAATTTTCTCATCTTGCTCGTCCTCCTTCTTCTCCTTCTTCTCCTACTTCTCTTCCCCTACAGGCTGTCGAGTGACGTTGCTACCATTGTCTACTTTGGCCCTCTTCGCTGGAACAGCTTGTTATCTCTTACCTCCACTACTATGGACGGAACCGGTATGGTCCTATCACGCGAGCTTGGAGTCTCGCCAGCAGGCAGCTGGGTTGCTGCATCTTCGTCGCGATTTTGGAAAGCCTTCGAAGGAGGTTGCTTCTATATGCGAACCCTGTCAGCGAAGGCGGAAGAAGAGCGCTCATGGTCAAGCAGCATCTGCTTACAAAAAAGAAAAAAGAAAAAAGAAACCCAACGATAAAGCAGCCGACTCACAGTGTAAGTACCTCTGGGGCGCAGGTTCACCGTTTTCCCCATGATACTTTCAGGCTATCGATCAGACACAAGATCCGCCTAGATATACACCGTGTAGACAGTGACGAACACGAAGAAGCAAATGATAGGGGCAGCGGAGGCTTCGGCGCTACAAGTCAGTTTCTCGTGTGCAGGAACCTTTCCGAGAAGCTGACGGCAATGAAATGGATGGGTCGACGTTGTCAAGTAGCACGAAGAGCGATGCAGAAGACGCTAACAAGAGTTGTTGAAGTCATGCGGAGACTTTGCAATTATGCGCTTTTGGAGTCAATATGCAATTCTCTACTAGCTCGAGCTCAGTGACGGACATTACGTTGCTCCTGGGGAAAGAGTGGGCAGCATATCCGAGAGAAGGCACGGAGCGTGGCATCACTATGGGAAGCTACAAAAGAGATCGCGGAATCGAGGGATAGGAACGAGACATATATACATAATCTATGGTGATGAAGTCCCTTCGCATAAAGATGACCAAAACGATTTGTTGTATTGACGGTTCCTCGGTGCGTAACCGTCTTCTCAGAGAGTTGTAGCAAGCGGTCCATAAGCGACAGGCCAAGAGCGTCGGGCAAACTGATCTCATCGCCTGTGCTGTATCGTTGCAAGAAGCGCTACGGGATATGAAACAGCGCCGATAGCAGGCAGTATTTACAGCCCAGGACGATCCAGTGTAACTCTAAAGCTTGATCAACAGAAGTCGCTGTAAGCATGGGGTGGCTGTATGAAGAGTGTATGTTGTGTGTATTGCAGAAGTGTGACGATGCAGCTCAGATGTAGTGGAGGAATGCAGTAAGTCTCGCGTCTTTGCAAGAGCACACCCGATTCTATCTGTAGAATTGTGCGCAGAATTGTCGCATGCTTTCTATGATACACCTCCTGTGCTCCCATTAAGAAACGCGCTAAAAGCATAACCAAATGCCTTGCAGATTTGTGTCTTTGGCTCTGCGCTGAGATGGAGAGAGAAGTAGTGGGCCCCATACCACCGTGTGATCTCGCTCACAAACGACTTGCCAACACTTCCGTTGTCCGCGACGCCGATATTGAGGCGAACACCAACCTCGAGAGACTCAAAGACCATGCTGTTGGCCCGCTCACGTAGCCTTCTGAAGATGAAAAGCGCAAAACTTTCGAGGCCCGATTGTGTCAGCCCGGGCACCAGGTCCTCCGGAAGAAACTTTCGTACTGCAAGTGCTTGGCCTTTAACGAATGCAGTCTTTGCACTGATAAGAATCCGACCAGTCCGACCGCGAATGTCTTCCTCACCTGGTTCGGTGGCAATAAAAACTCTGAGTTCGCAATTTGGCAGTGACGGAACGATTTCCTGGTGAAACCAATGCTCTGGCTTCTTGTCTGATTGCTTTCGCTTCTTGGATGACTGTCCCTTTTTCGATGTTGTGTTCTTCCCACCTCCGCCTCTGTGCGACGGTGTTTCTAGAGTATGCGTCCCTGGATCACAGGTAAGTTGGTAGCGCTCCCCACACTCCGTAACGTGTTCGTGTTCCTTGTGTTTGCGGTCTTTCTCATCTACAACACGAACGTGCGTAGCACAGCCACCGTGGGCTCTTCTGTGGACGGTTTTGTCGCAGTCCCGGGGTACGCATGCACCGATACCCAGACATGTCTTGGGCCGCCATGCAAACTTGGGTGGGGATGACCGAGCCACCTCATCCAAAGCCCCGATGTTCCCTAGCTTTTCTCTCTCCTGCATCGCTTCGCTCTCGTTCGGGTACACCCGAAAGGATGTTCCATACTTGGATGTTAGCTGATTGCGTGCTACCTCGTAGACTTTGTCCGGCGTAGGGTTCGCGGGCTCTTTGGTGGTCCAGTGCAGGAACAGCACACTGCGTAGCGACTGGCCATCCTCATCTATGCAAGTGTCGGACAACAGAGGTCCCTTCGAGTTGCTGGTTCAGCCAGTCCCATGTATGCGGGTCGACGGAAAGCGTGTTCAGTGATTCTGTGGCCAAGATTGTGACCAGCGCTTGCTGTATACAGTAACCCCCGTTGGGTATCCGTTTGATGACTGTCTTGTCCAATTACATCGAATAGGCTTTCGCTAGCCAAGGGTCGTGGCCGAGGCCGTTGTGATCTTCAGGAAAGATCTGAATAGGAAGAGTGGCGGTGTGGTCGAATGGTTTGTTATCAGGGGAGGTAACCCATATCACCTTGTTCCATACCGCATTTGGTCCGCGGAGGGAGCGCGTGGGCGATGCTGCTTGTGGGATCGACGGAACTCGGAGCGCGACGTCGAGATTGCCGCGAGAACTCTCAAGGGTCTTCGTCGCCGGGTGTCTATGTGCCTTTTTGGGACGTTTTTTCCTTTGCTTCGCAGTTTTACGGTCGCGATGATCTTGACAATATTGATGTACTCCGCGTATACCGTTACAGGAGAGAACGAAAGCACTATACCCTGCCTGTTTGTGCTCTTCTAGTCGCTTGCGATACTTGAGATCTGACTTTAATTTGCTTGAGGAAGGCGGCATAGCTCGAGCAGGGATTAGGCTCGAAGTGGGTCTGCAGAAATGAGTTACTGTAAGCGGGTTTGGAGCAGGGCGTTGAGCGTGTTGAGGTAGGGCGCGGCTGGATGAAGCTGGATGAAGCTGGATGAAGCTAGATGAAGCTAGATGAAGCCGGGCAAAGCCGGTCGAAGCCGGGCGAGGCGGGCGTGAGGCGGGATATGCAGCTCGCGACGCTACCGTAAACTACTCTGCTTTTGCGGAACATCGCCTGTCCCACGGTTGGGTGCGGGTATTGTAGACGGAATAATTAGAAGAGAGTGTATGTATTGTATTGCGTAGCAACCTAGCTCAGCTTATAGGAAGGTCATCGCACGGCGTTATTGATAATAAAGTTCATGTTCCCAACAGCGCTTGGCTTGCGACAGAGAACCATATACAGATTCTACTATCCAAAAGGCAACAAAGTACTTTACAACAAAGCACAGATCCAATGAATCGCGAAACACGAATCTAGCAGCAGTCAGACGTAAAGGTGACTTGCTCCTCATGTGGACAACGATGTATTTCATGAATCGAATGCTTTGCAGCTATGTTTATAGGGCTCCGCTGATACGTGCCCGAACAGTGCTAGGTAGACAGTTTATCGAGTCACACATGAGAACCTAATTCGCACAAGACCTGTACAAAAAGAGATTCAGACATGGGGGCTGCATAGGAGGACTCCACACCCGTCGTCAACGGCCCTCGGCTCATCCTGCCATCGCCGTGTCTCCTCAGGCCACCCCTTTTCTCACTCTGGAGTTCGATTAGACGTAGTCTCAAAAACGAGCTTCACGCCTCAGGCATTATTTGGGAGAGTGCTCCACCACGGGCGCAAATACAAGAAGGGATATGTTTGTTTTGATGCTGGGTGGCTCGAGCTCGACGCACGGTAGCACGGCACGCGCTCTCGCGCTCTTGCCCGCTTGCCCGCTTGCTTCCCACGTTGCTACTCATCCAACTCTATCTACCTAGAGTCGCAGGGTCTTCGGCCTGCCCTGCCAACTCTATTCCTTGGCTGCTCGCTTTCCGCCATCTTTGCAACCCCTCAAGGCGACGCTTCACCACCATCACACCCTCGCGCGAATCGACAACGCGAAGCGCAACTACTCGACGCGAAGCATATTCTTCCACAATATACGGACGGGCATCGACACCACGAACCGCAGCTAGATCGGTCATCTTTGTGTCGTCGAGCCCATTTTCGTGTAGAACGGCCGCGCGCATCGGATCCGCGACGCGACTGAAGCGACCTTCGTCCCACGTCCACACGAACGCAACTGGCGACAACTTTCTCGTATAGTAGTCCTTGGTGGACAGCTTCTGAACATACATCACAATGGCTCCTAAGCGAAATACGGCAGCAAGCTACACGTCCTAGCAAATGAACCAAGACCTCGGGTCTTGCTGCTACAATAGTCTCATTGGAACCATCAGAGGTTCGTCTCCTCGCCTCGGAATCGATACAGCGGCCGCAGTACTTTGAGGTATTCCTCCAAGGTCTGTCCAAATCCCAACGTGAGAAAATCGGGCGAAATCCCTAAGAAGTGGGCTATGGCAGTATCAGACTATTCAAGGACGACAAACGTGTGTTGATGAGACCAACCATAAGCGTCAGTGATTATGAGTTTTTGGAATATCCCACTAGCAACAGCGAGTACATCTGTGATAACAGGTTCGTATATCACGTCGACGTTTCCCACATAAAGATACCGGTGGATATCCTTACCATACCTGATGCATGATTAACAGCATCGAGCCCAGGCTCTAACTTGGGCGATCAATAAGCACGCCGGCACTAACCCAACTCCCCCGTCTGCGCTGCTCTATGCTCGTACTCATCAGATAAGTCGACGTTGTATAGCCCTACAAAGGACGCGCCATGATGCTTCAACCAAGGGCTAGGGAGTCCTTGGGGTCGGTCCTTCTTGATTAGTTCAGAACAGTAGCGCATAGTCTTAGCGCTACTCAAGGCAGCCAGGCTCGCAGACATGGACGATTCATTTGCGTAGGCGAGGGAACACTTTTCCTGCGGCAGCTTTACGATACAGCATCAAAAAAGCAACAATCACAATCGAAAAATGCCGATATCAGAGTTCGCAGGTCAAGTTTCCAAACGTGATCAAGCGAACAATCAGCGAGCGGTAGGAACGAGAACTGGCATTGACCCGCCTCGGGTGAGAAACCCCTACGTTGGACTGACGATCGTACGCAATGAACGCTACGTGCTACTAAAGCAATATCTGAACGAACTGCCTATCCGCCAACGGCTGCGATGAAAGCTTCGATGAGAGGCACCAGCAAAGCAACGAAATGAGTCATTGTCGAAGAAAAGAAAAACAGATACGTGTGTCTATGGAGGATATACCGTCGCTCTCTTGCCAAAACGATTCTACAGCGTAAATTCGACATAGTAAGCCCGATGATATTTGATGGGGCCGTCAAGACAGCCTGTTGCAGCGCCGCAGTACCCTGGGTCCTTTGCGAACGCCATTGTGCGATCTTGTCCACACTTGAGTGTTGGAGGGCCCAACCCGTCACCCACAATCGAGCAATCTGCCCCTGTGGGAAGCGAAGAGAGCTCTGACCACCTCCCTTTTGGTGTAGGAGGAGGAGTGTCGATATCGCTGATTGGGCTTCCTGGGCGAGCCGTTACTTCGTAATGATCCTCCTTGAAGGGCCCGAGGTTGCAGGGATCGACGGCGATGCCGCGCGGCCCAAAGTAGACGCCCCACTCATGGACATAACTGAAGACGTTTTCCTTGTAGAGAATCTGTATCGAGTTCTTGTGCTCCGGAGAGCGAGCGTGCATACGCTGATTCTCCAAAGCGCTGAGCGCTTCACGGTCGTGCGGCTCCTGGCATTCCGCCGTTTCTGGAGTACTTCGGTGAGCTACCTGCGGAGCTGCTCGTTCAGGGAGTATAGCAATCGTGCTGATAACGAGCCAGGGTAGCGACAGAACAAAGCAGAGGCGTCGCATCATGGTTGATCCAGCTATACGGAGACAAGGCCAAAGTGGAATGGTGAGTGGGATCAATCGAGTCTTACACGGTCATTTTTGAGAACACATCTGGTCGACATAAGACTCCGCTGACGGTGACGCTGACCCTGACGCTGACCCTGAGCTAGAGAGAGCCCACCAGAGCGACGTTTCTGTGGTGAGGAGTATCGAAATATCTCTCGGACGCGATTGTCTGTTGACGTACCCAGGTCCGTTGTACTGAGCCAAAGTGAGTTATCTGCTGACAGCCGATATCGTGTCGAACCGCTAGGCGTAAGGCCTCAGTGAGTCCGACACAGGGCGACGGTGTGAATCAATCTAGCTTTCATAACAGAGGAACGAGTGCTGTTCTTTTTCTTACAACGGTCTCTCTGGTTCGCACTCAGCCACAGAACCAAAATCACTGCCTATCTCAGAAAATCACACCGTCTCCGCCCCGTTCACACAGCACCAAAGAGGCAACAGGTGGTCTTTGTCACCTGCATGCACGGAAACGCTGATTCTGACATGAAGGGCCTCGAGAAAGCCATACAAGACGTACAAGCCCATGCTCAAGTTCCCTTATTTACTCTTCTTAACTATGATAGGACGAGGAGGCGCTAACTTCCACTGCGAACAACGCGAATTGTGCGACACCGATAGATCCCAATGGGGACGTCGTATTGAGATGTTTGGGACGGAGCACGGCCATCTGCAATGGGTTTCGCATTTCGACCCACGTCCTTCGGCTCGCATCTCCTATGTTCTTCCGCATGTTCAGCACGTCTTTTTCCGAAGGACAGCGACTGCTCGTCGAAGATTGCCCTGTGGTAGAACTAGGAGACGACGATCCCGAGCTCATGGGGCTGATACTCCGGATCCTTCACTATCAGGGCAGCCCTGCAGATTACGAGACGGAAGCCGAAGCATTGGCGCAGCTCTCTATTCACTGCGACAAGTACGACTGTACAAGAGCCTTGGGGCCCTGGGTACCGACCTAGCTGAGAAACGTCAGAACAAAGGACGACTCGGCCCAGGCACTGAGGTTCCAGATCCTCGCTGCCTATATCTTCGGCAACTCGCTCGGATTCAGAAACAAATCGCGGACCGCCACCCTGCAGCTAACACCATCGTCCGTGGCAGTGTGGGAAGAGGAAAAATTATTCGCAATACTGCCGTCAAGCGTCACGGGTAAGCCATGGGAGTTCTTCAACGAGCTCACTATCGCTGACACTGTCTAGTATCCATGACTAAGCGCATTCAGCGGGTGTTGGACGAACTCGAAACCGTAGTGCAAAACATGGAGCTGGCTCTGCGTCAAGACACGAAGGTCTATGACACCTCGCAGCTCCTGTGTATTGTCTGTGGCCGCAGCCTTCCCAACGGGGCAAAGAAGTGTCATTCTTGTCACAACACAGACCTCCAGGGGAGGCTTTGTACGCACGGAACGAGGGTGGCTGAATACTTTGATATCCTGCGCAAGACAGAGTTATGGCTGACAGTAACCTCATTCACAGAATGTTCCGTATTCGACGTCTCGTCGCGTGTCGCCCGTGCTAGAAAAGGCGCGAAACACATTTGCGAAGCGAACAACTTCTGTCCGTTACTTACGACCTTAGATCTGATGATCACCAAAGCCAGTGAAGCTCAAGACTGAGCGAATGGACTGTGCCTGCGCTGCGTTCGAGATGGCGAAGATGAAGAAGGTTTCGCATGCGGTCATATGTAGTGGTCCATCTCTCGGAGCGTTGTTTCCATGGCAGATCTGTGCCATGCTATAGTAAAGGCAAGAAGGAGGTTGCACACCCCCGCAACCTCCGCTACTCGCTCGAGAACCATGGGGCGTTGATCTTCCCACTCGACGCATCAGCCTTCATGGCACTTGCAACTGTCTAGAAGCGTTGCATTGGAAGTTCTTCTACCACAAACCTGCTAAGGTATCTAGGCGAGAAGATATATCTAGAGAATTGTAATACATCAAGACAAACCGCTGTAGACTTTCTCTGTTTAGGCTCGGGCGCGTGAAGCTGTTGTAGGCGAGCGGTGGCGATTCTTCGCTTTCTTGACTTATATCCACACACAGGGCGATGGAATGAGTCGCCTCGTAAGCGAGGAGCACTGAAAACGCATGCTACGCAAGTGATTCATGTTTTCGAACAGCGTAGACCCCGACGCAGCGGTGCGTGCCGTTCGAGTTGCATTCTGCGGTTGTAGGCGGCGACGACTATGGCGATTTGCCGCTGGGTGCCAGCAACGTCCTCGATCCCCATTTTTGCTTTCTGGCAGTCCTGCCAAAGACAAGTCAGCTCTGAGCGCGGCTGTTGGCCGTTTCAATACCGGTTACGCATTCCTTCACGGGCCTAATCGCCCGCAACTTAGTTCACGAACTCTAGAGCACAGCCCATCATGGTATTGTCAGGCGATGGTAGAGAAGACAACAAGCGCAATACTATATGGGGTGTGCTACTCGTTCCAGTCTCAGATCGTTATCGCTGCACTTTCTCCCATCACAGCTTTGCCACTGTCATCGCAGGGCCGGCTGCGCGCCCACTCGTAATCGCCAGCACTAGCTCATCTACCACTTCCAGCACCCACATGCAGCCTTCGTCACTGGTGAGCCACCGTATGCCCTCCTCCAAGCCAGCACCCGGATCCGATCTCCAAGATCCGTCTTCCCATGCCTTCTTCAGACCATGAACATGACTCTGTAGCTGTCGACTGGACGGCCGACTTGCCCGCAAGCACGCAATAGCACAGAGGCTAATCGTTATCCGTCCGACTGTTGGACTGCGGTGCCGCGCTAGCAGCCCGCCGTAGACATGGCCTTTAACATAGTTGGCAAGATCTGGATGAGCGTTCACCAACTTGCGCTCGATCACCCTTCCCTTCGGATGGTGGATAGCGTTCCACAGCTCCTCACCCTCCTGATTGATGGACTCGATGATATCAGCATCTGCGCAACCCAACGGCGTCGTGCTGAGCGACGATCTAACGACTGAGGGCAGAGAAGCACGGAATGCAGCGAGCATGTCCATGATTTGCGGGATCTAATCGCCATCAGCAGTCAGCCTAACCCAGAGCAGACGTATCTGTACATACACAGACAACAGCTATGCCTCTCAACCCAATTTCTCGCATGAGTTCCGCAACGGCGACGCTCTCTTCCAGATTCGTCGATGCTGTTGCATGATGATAGAGCGCCGTCATCGACGCTTCAGAGTCCACGCCAATCACTGTCGCTGTCGTGAGAGCCAGCCACGACGAACGGCTCAGTCCTTTTGCTCTCGCTTCTTGTTCCCGTCTGTGGAACATGCGTTGAATGCGTAACGTATCCACAACAGCCGGCGCGGGGGGGTGTGGCGGCTCGATCATCGCCTGGAGACGGCGCGATACTCTCGGCATGACGCAGCGTTTCTGGGTGTAGCAGTAACGCTGGAGACATGCACTGAGATATAGGGCTGTTCGTATATGATTCCTGCTCACAGCGCAGAACCTTATGCCGAGCTATCAGCTGCGTATGATCGTACGTGCTGCGGTAACCATCATCTAGTAGCTAGCCGCGGATCGCTGTGAAGACAGTATCTAGCGCTTGTTGAAGCGCTCTGCATCAGATTCTCTCACTACTACTATTACAATGCAGTACATAGTACTAGTCTTTACAGTCTCGCGTCCGACGTGGTGATGCTTAGCATGTTCACCATGATCATCTATCACTAGGTAGGCTGTTGAGTCTGTCTCGGAGACTTGATTCATAGCTGCTTTCGAGCAACCATGTGTAAACATATGCAACTGCTGAGCATGATGCGGTGAACAATACCGGTGATAGACCATACGAACTTTGAGTTACTCTCTCGAGGTAGGAGTGTTCATTGTAATTGCAGGCTGCAAAGACCTCGCTGTTTCAGCACCCTCGGTAATCGTTCAGGCGGTCATACATCTCCGTTCAATCACGGTTCTGCACTTCACACAGCGAGGCTCTCTAGCTGAATTCACCCCACCTGTGTCGGCTCTCGTTCGATCTGCAAGTGAGAACATCACGCTGTGCCTTCAGGGTAGAGGACATGATTTCTTGACCGCACTCTTTGATGGAGGCTTTTGGGCGTCGGCCGCTGCCTCTAGTAGCATTGGCCAGAATCTAGCAAGACAATTATTAAACGATTTCGTTGAACATGACACTAGACGCGCCATCGTAGTAGAGGTTCAAGTATCCTGCCATAGAGTAGACTAGACACGAATCGTGGTTAAGCCGCACGAGCAGTAGACAGGCCTATATCTATAGAAATGGCCAAGCCTTGGCCCACTAAAGCCTCCAGCCTGACAACAATCAGTTGCGCCAAACTTTGCTTGGCCATAATAGGGACAGTGAAAGGCAAGCTTGCTGCTGCTGCTGCGCAGGCTACTTTAAACGGGTTCATCATTCGCAGTAGTCCGATAGCCTGGAAGACTTGCCTGCTACTTGGGGGCATGTCGGGTCGAATTCCGTTCTATCCGTTGATCATCGCTCGTGGAAACGCGCACAGCAGTGTTCAACAGAGTTTCCATGTCCAAATCCATTTCGTGAATCAATTGTGCGACTACATCTGCAATGTCCTTATCGATCCACGCCTCATCATTCATGGAGTGTAGACGACACTCAAATACCTCGGCGTATACGATCTCTTTGACAGACAAACTCGCGCATTGGTAACCTAAGTTCTGCAAAACATTCGCTAGGCTCTGGATCCCCCTTCTCAGTTGTCTTCTTGCGGCCCATAGACGGACGTCCGTCAATCTCAACCCTACTAAGCGTTGCGCCCACAGGCAGACATAGCTTGAAGCATTCGTCGGTTTGCTAGAGTCAAGGCTGAGAGCTTTCTGGTAATTGCTCGGCATTTGATGCCACTTGCGAGGACCGTTCGTTATCCCGTGCGACTCAATCTGGCTGGGGAAGAGAAGTTCCGTGAAAGCTCTATCAGCCTGTTCAGCAAGCAGGTTTTCTAGCTGACTGCAAAGCGCTGAAAATCTCTCCGGAACGGCCATCTTCGTAGTAGGCTTACAACAATGCGAGTCGTGGTTTTGCTGGCTGGTAAAGATTTGTGTTATCGAGGCGCGATATGTGTTTGCACTGCAGACCGGCAACGGGAGTAGCCCCACCTTCCCGATGTTGCTTAGCGCCGGCTGTCAGCAGCTTTCTCCGCCAGGCGTGTATACGGACAGTTGTGTTACGGATCTGCTCACGCTTACATACAGCCTAGGGATCTGGCCGTGTACGCTCCCATCGCGTACCTGGTCTTGTCCCGCTCCTCAGAGCGTCTACATGTGAGTGTACGGCACTCTGGCGACAGTGTTTTGTTGCACCATTCCATTCCCAGGCGCTTACATGGGCTACCATGACACAGCAGAGCAAGTGAGGTGACACTGCAGCATGCGCCCAAAAGCAAATATGGTGCTATGTGCGAAAGGAAATTTGCCCAAGATGTGCTTACGCTGACATCACGTCGGTTGATGCCGTTCATTCCTACTTCGCCAGAGCACATTGACGCTATGAGGAACCATCTTATTAAGGTCGCCTTGACGGCCTCTAGGGAGTTCATGCAGGTATCTTTGCTCGACCGACAGGTTCGTCCCGCAGCCATCCCTTCCTACATAGACACACTCTTTCCACCAACAGTACCTGCAATCGAGCGACGCGGGCGTCCTCCACACACTCCTTAACGAAGTTTCTTTATCATGCGCCATCGTGTGCTCACTCTTTTCCTCAGTGCGTTCGCACTTTGCGCCAACTCTACGCCTCAGACCGGAGATAACAGCCAGTGCACTGCCCTGTCTGATCAGGTCCTCGTTCGCATAGCATCAACAACGGCCTCTTGCGAAGGTGCAGGATTCCCCGAGGAATGTGCGGATGCGACACGAGCAGCGAGAGCTATCAACACGGCTTTCGAAACATATGGGATCTCCTCGCTCGGCGAAAGAGCTGGCTTAATGGCCTACATGCTTTTCGAGTCAGACAACTTCAAGTACAGCAGAAACCACTTTCCAGGCAGGCCAGGTCAGGGCACGAGGATGATGGGGATGCCCCCTATCGTCAAGCTCTACGCGGAAAGCGTCGCTGGCGCCGATACTGTCGCGGAGGCTGAAGCCGCCGGAGGGGACGCAGGCCTGGACGCGGTGCTACGGCTGGCCAACTGCAACGATGAGAGGAGTTTCGGGATGGCGGCTTGGTTTCTCAGCACGCAGTGCACCCCCTCCGTTCGAGCTAGGCTAGCTACGGGAGAGATGGACGGATGGCACGATTTCTTAACCGCGTGCGTGGGCACTACCCTGGCAGCGGAGCGTGACACGTTTTGGCTGGCTACAACACACGTCATGAACGGCAAAAAATAGAGAAGAACACGTTACAACTTCTATACCAATACTCGTTTCTGCGTCTACACATTCTTGTCCAACGTTCTACATCCTAGCTTTTGTGTGTGACAATATTGCTAGCATCCTCTTCTCTCGAGGTTGGTTCAGTCTGGCGATAGTTTTGGACAACAAGCTGCGCTGACGACTTGACGTAAGTTGGAGATCTCACTGTTCTGAACCACTTGATACATGTATGTTTTCCAGCGTTTAGATATCGTGAACAACCATGCATAGTTGCGGCGACCACACAGAAGCCAGAAAGGCCGTCAAGCTGGAAATAGAACGGTCACAGCTGCCCCCGCACTAACGTCTCACATCCTGATATCGTCTTCTCTTCATTCCGTGATGTTCCATCTGAAGAATCCCATGGTTGAGGCCATCTTGGATCGTGATAGTCAGTGAGACAGCGGATGCTTTCGGGTATCGCGAGTCGACGGTTTGTTGTATGTGAACAATCACTTGTCTGCATCACAAACTGACGTACTGCACAAGTAGTGCACACGCACGAGAAAGCCTACTCGTCGTGAAGGGAAGAACTTCAGCAAAAAGCAATATAGAGAAGAGTATGCTCTCGCAAGTAAGAAGATCTACAGATGCAACAGTTCGAGCGCAGAATCGTGATGCGAATGTCAGATAATGTGTGGTGCAATGCCTTGTCAACACGTTTTGTCATTTGCTTACGCCCGTAAGCGAACCGGCTAGCTCGGTCGGGTCGACCCTCGGGTGACGCTATCCTAACGCCTGCCCATGTAGCAGCAACATCACACTGTAGCTACAGTGCTGATCAAAAACAAACGCTGCATCGCACACGGCTCCGTTACAGCGTACGTTCGTCACCCAAGGTACTGGCCTGGCGGGTTGTGGTGCTGTGCAAACCCTGCACGGTCATAGATGGTTCCAATGGCGAGCCTCGACAACCTGCTTCCATGTAACTTCAAGGACTAGATGGACCAGCCGACCAAGGTCGATAGAATCAACAAAGACAGCTTGTAGTACGACTACATGGCTGACGAGTGTTCCGCAGGGTAGCCGTGTGCGCGACTCACAAACCGGATGGTCAGCACGATGCGAGATACGTATGTCTTGAATCGGGGCGCGTCTGAACATCACTGTCAGTGTCATGGTACTGTAACAGAAAACGCTTACATCTTCTTCTGAGTAGTGTGAACGAGAGCTGCGCAGAGATCGAAGCCGCCAACTGTTGGTCAAGCCCTCAGTCTAACGCTTCAACTCACTGGTGTCTGCAGAAGCGAAGAGACACGGTATATTCGTATATAGGCTGCATAGTCTTGAATGTCACCACAAAACTATCTCACCCACTCTCAAATTCTTCAGGCTTACGGTAGAACCAGGGGGAGGTTTTGTGTGTCCCGGTCTCGACTCCACTACTAGTATCTGATAGCAACGACATGGCACAGGGTGAAAACGAACAGGGATGTGCGCTTGTGCCAGTGCCAGGTTGCATGCCATAAAACACAGTAAAGACAGCCTGCTGATATATCTAGGCACAAATCTCGAGAGCAGTAGCCGGTCCCCCAAATGGACGAAGGAAGAAGAGACGGCCGTCCGCCGGAAGTTGGACAGGGTAATCGTGCCGCTCACCACGTTTCTCTATCTGCTCTGTTTCCTCGACAGGTACACGATGGCTCTGTATCGAGTACGAAACTCGCTGACAGTGAATGCAGAATCAACGTTGGGAATGCCAGAATCCAAGGCATGGCAGGAGAGCTAGGTCTCAACCAAGGCTACCGCTGGAACTGGGTGACGTCCATCTTCTACATTGTGTATATGTTTGTCGAGGTGCCGAGCAATATTCTATTGAAGAAGCTCGGCCCCGAGTTCTACCTGCCGCTCTTGGTGTGTGGCTTTGGGCTTGTCTCGCTGTGCAGTGCCTTTGTGCAGAGCTTCCAGGGACTGCTGGCTGCCAGAGCCTTTCTCGGAGTATTTGAGGGGGGTGTCATGCCGTAAGTCTAGGCTATGCTCGGTGTTACCGCGTCTGACTTGTCCTATCTAGAGGTCTCGCCTTCTTCATATCCTGCTTCTACAAGCGTGAGGAGCTCTTGTTCCGCATCGGCATCTACGTCTCTGCTGCGTCCATGGCTGGAGCCTTTGGCGGCCTGCTCGCCACTGTGTAGGTAGCTTTGGGATTCAACGTACACATCCATCGCTCATGTGCATACAGTCTGTCTCGCATTCCTCCGTGGGGCGCCTCTTCGATGGTCATCCATACCTGGCGTAACATATTCCTCTTCGAGGGCCTGTTCACCGTACTAGTCGGTTTCCTTGCGCTTTTCCTGATGCCGCGAAGCCCCGAAGAATGCTAATTCCTGAGCGTTCGCGAGCGTATGATAGCCTCTGAGCGGCTTCGGGAAGACCATGGGGCAGAAAAGGGCGAAGATATCGCACGGGCCCACTTGGAGAGCGCCTTCAAAGATATCAACAATTACTTGTGCGCTCTAGGGTTCTTCTTCATCAACACCACAGTGCAAGGAATATCGCTCTTTCTGGTACGCCACTATCACAAATAAGAAGGGACATAAGATGCTGACAGTACCCCGTAGCCTACTATTCTCAAAGACCTGGGATGGACCGCCACGAAGGCGCAACTCTACTCGGTACCTCCCTACGCTTGCGCCTGTCTCATCGCCATCGCCGTCGCGACCGTCTCCGATAAGACGAAGCGGCGGGGGATCTACCTTGCCATCTTCACTCTTCCCGCCATCGCTGGCTTTTGTATCATGCTATGGTCAACCGAGTCCAACGCACGTTATGGGGGTATCTTCTTGATCACAGTCGGATCCTTCCCCGGAGGCCCCGGATTCCTTGCATGGGCAGCAAACAACGCCGGCGGACCGGCATTCCGCGCTGTATACATGGCATGGGTAGTGACGCTGGGCACGGCTGGTGGTATTGTTGCAACCTGGTCAGTCAACTTAATGCAATGGCTCCCTTTGGTATCAAGCTGATGCATCGTAGGATATACACCGTCCATGACGCACCGAGGTACCCCAAGGGTCATAAGGTTAACCTGTGCGGTCAAATCGGCGTGTGCCTCTTGGCATGCTTTGGCATCGCCTACTGCAAGTGGGAGAACAAGCAGCGCGGCCTGGGCAAGCGCGATCACCGTTTGATCAACCCTACCCCAGCCAAGATCAAGAATCTCGGTAACAGACACCCTGAGTTCCGGTTCATGTACTAGGTACGCATGGTTGCGTGTCCGATACGATCACTTCTGTATGGTGTTTGCCTTTTGCTGCCTGTCGTTGGTTCAACATTGTGGTTCGGAAGTTGACTTGCCTGATTTTTGCTGTGCGCGGAACGCTCGACACAACGAATTCCGTTCTTAGCCAGCTTCCGCAGGTTGTCTGCAACGCTCTAGAGTATCGCACGAGGGAGTTGATGAACACCGTACTTTGCAGCCGCTTTACCTTAGGCAGACCTCTTCTCTTACCACCTCACCTTGCGATTGAAGAAAGCAATTAGCAAAACATTGTCAACTGTTGCTGCAAGCCATTTCTCACTTAGCCTAGGAAGAACTCACAACCCGGCATGGTTCCAGTCGCCGGCAAGGCAGAGAGCTGCCGTGTCACGAAAGATGATCCTGCCTTGTTCCACCGTCGATGAAGACCAAACATACCACTGGCACATGCCATGTATCCGCTCTCAGACGCTAACGTCCGTCCCTGGGTAATGGGACACCCTGCGTGGCGGGACGCCACTGACACTCCTCAACACAACAAACGCAACGACAGGTCAGAAGAACAGATATTCTCGAAGTAGTAACCTTGAGTTATATAGTCTATTTCCTTGTGGTGTCTTTTAGGTATAGATCTTGCTTACTGCGCAAGACGACAATGTAGCATAAATGTCACGCGACAGCCTCGCTGGCGACTAGACTTGTGGCTATGTGGTTATGTGGTTGAGTGGCCGTGCGACGCTTTTGCCAAGCGCTTCAGGACACTGGAAAACCGGCTCAGATTAGGAGCAGGGCTAGGTTCGAAGTCCCCCAGCGTTTAGCTCGCGACAACAACCACACCCAGCATCAAAACCGCAGCTAGCTTCCGACACAGCTATTGTGCAACTTCAAGACGCATGCAACGCACGACTATAGCTAACGCGAAAGTTGCCACGCCACAGAGATGAACCATCGCGCCGCCCTCTAGCTCCGCAGACCCGCCGCTGCTCCCTCGTCCGACCCACCACGTTCTCGTGCTGTCGAGCATGTCGCGACCGATACATGTACCAAGCCGTAGCCGAATACTGCTTTGGCTCGTACAAGGGCACAACGAGTGAAGAAGCGTCTGAGAAGAACGTGTACAGGACTCACACAGCGGGCATAACGGGAGACAGACTAGTGGGCATGCTACAGAATACCAAGATCCGGGTCTAGGCTTTGGGAAGCGGAGCGGGTGCTACTGGAAGATCGCCGTTGGTTGACGCACACACAAAGGTGGAAAGGGTCTACATATCTTAGAGATACAGCTATTGTATGGTTATACAACGAACAGCTTCTCGTATAAGCACTGCGGTTATTAGGGCGGAGGAAAGGTGCTTTAGTATAGTCTCTAAGGGTGATGAGGAGTTTGGGTCGTTGATGTTCATAAGCGCTGGTAGAGGTAGAGCAGAGCTCTGGTAGTACCCACGCATGGTAAGGTACTGCGCTATCTAAGGCTGCATGCCGTCCTGTCATCGATCATGGGCCTTCCATCTCTTCGCAATGCCATCCAGCGCGGACGTTCACGGCAAGGGTATGGCAGGTGCGGGTTGGCCACTTACCCCGCTACCGAGAGCAACATCAAGAGCCAATTCACCTTCAATGTTGTTCGATTCTGCTTCTAAACGCGCTTGCTCAACCACGTGATGCTCAACCCTAGTGGCTCAGTCATCCTGCCGTTGCTTGCCCCCACCATCGTCCTCAACTCTCTGCTTCCGGGTTTTTCTCACGATACGTGTCTACTATTGGATCGGAATTCTTGCCCGCTTCACCCCTGCTTATAGTGCCTGCCAGGCGGTCGTTTTCCTCACTATTTTGAATTTAGTAACGCAGACAAGCATTAACTTACTTCAGCAATGCCGCTGCTTGATCTACCAAATGAGTTGCTCAGAAATGTATCAGAATACCTAGAATCCGAGAGAGATATCAATGCCATTGCACAAGCCAACCGCCACCTCTATCGTCTCCTAGATAGCTACCTCTACCGCTACAATGTACAGCAGTCTGGAAGCTCAGCGCTGTTGTGGGCTGCCCGACATGGCCAAGAGGCGACGGCGCGAAAGTCGCTGAGGGGAAAAGCCAATATACATGCCACAGATGATGGCGCCCAAGCACCGCTGTTGTTGGCGGTAGAAAAAGGTCATAAGCAGGTAGTAAGGCTGCTGCTCGACAAGGGCGCCGACGTCAACGCGCAGGGTGTATGGTACGGCAGCGCACTTCAGGCGGCTTCATCTAGGGGCCACGAGTCAGTGGTGAAGATGCTAGTGGCATTGGTGCTAAGTCATAATAAGGGAAATGCATGCATGGCTGGCTAATCAATGTCTCTGAAAGAAGATAACTTAGTTACATTCTCAAGCCTATGTATTGGCGGTACCAGTAGTCTGATAGACACAACGCTAATGATGATGCGTATGCCGCTGTGATGAAAGCAGAGTGCGACAAATTTGCCACCATAAGCTAAGTAGATAATTGACCCGCACCTGCCACACCCTTGCCATGAACGTCTGCACTGGATGGCATTGCGAAGAGATGGAAGACCCATGATCGATGACAGGACGGTATGTAGCCTTAGATAGCGTAGTACTCTACCATGCGTAGGTATCATCGAACCTCTACTGGCAACATGATCACTCTAGCTACGAGCTCCAGTCTTGAGGCTAGTCAGACAGGTTTCACAGATCAATCCACCTTGGTGAGGCAAATGGCGTACACATCTACACACTGGGAGCATTTCGATTGCACAGAATCACAACGCCCATTGCTCCAGCCATTTTCTCGCCTCACGTCCATCCACTGCCCGCCCCTCCCTTAACGTCGGGCTGACGGCTTCTGCCTTCTTGGTCGCCAGTCTCGGTAATCCTGTTGCCGTCTCAGGACACAGACCCCTATAGAAGTCGAGCAACTTCAGCCCCGGCACGCGTTTGGCATTCTCCTTGGTCAACGGAATCTGTCCCAGTTCGTGAACCCAGTCACTGTACTCGATGGCACCGATGGCCACGTCGTTACTTTTGTAGAATTCTTGGATGACAGGATACAACTGTCGCCAACTCGTTCTGTGGGGGTTGGCTAGATGGTAAACGCGTGTGAGCTGTGAAGTTGATGCCGTAGCGATGTCAACCACAGTCGCGCCCGCTACATCCATCGGTACCCAATCCACCTGTTCCATGGTTCCCAGCGTTCTTGGCAGCTTTTTCATGACCCTGCTTGCGTGAACCAACGATGGCAGCCATTCGTGTCGGTTCCACGCTGCTCCGCTAGCCTGCGCACTGGGTCCTGCAAGCTGGCTCGCGCGCACGATCGCAGTCTGTATACCAAGGCGATGCGATGCGATTGCGAGGATCTCAGCTGCGACATGTTTGGATTCGCCGTAGCCTTGCAGCAACGGGATCGAGCGGTCGAAAAGCGTAGTGGTAGATTCGGGTACAGCAGAGCCGTCCTGTACGACACTGCCCCAATTGCCTACGCTGGCGATCGACGAGACGAAGGTGATGGAAGATTTATGAACAGACTCAGAGGCAAAGTCCACGACGTGCCGGGTTCCAGCGATGTGCGTTGCCTCGTAAGATGAGAGCGAGAGGTTGAAGTTGACAGACCACGCTGAATGGATGAATATCGTGACGCTGGAGAGAAGGCGTTCATATACTGCCTTCTCGAGACCAAAACCGGCAAGACCGAAGTCGACCTGCAGGAATTCGACCTTGTGGAGGCCCGCTTCCATACCATAGTACTTCACGAAGGCGTGTCTTTGTCGGGTCTCTGCATCGTCCGAACGGTCCAGGCAATACACCTGCTCGATTTCAGGGCGCTGGACAAGGGTTTTCAGCACTTGGCTGCCAAGGCTACCCGTGGAGCCTGTGAGGATCACTGTGTGTTTGGATGGGCGTTCTCGTTCAGCCCCTACCCGCTTCTGTTGGACCATGTCTATCGTATACTTTCTCACCATAGCGCCCAGCTGTTCCTCCCGAGTGGTGGAGAGCGTCACTGTTGCGCCCGACCGGCTCGTACCTGGTGACAAGGCCAGCGTAAGCTCGTGGACAGTGGGGTTTTGGTAGATCGTTGCGGCCGTGATGTCTCTGCGCTGGAGTTTCGTTTTCAGTGCTTCGGCCAAGGCCAACACGCCTAAAGAATCGACCTCTAGGCTGCAGATATCGACGTCGTCTAGCGTTCCTTCATGGAACGAAGCCAGGACGTCGATAAACACAGCACGGATCGTACTCCTGAGTTCCACATGGGCGCCAGACTCTAGACTGGATCCTCTAGCAAACTTCTCGTCGTTGTACAGTGCCGCGATCTCGTCGTGAAACATGGCGACCGTTGGGAGCCGGATGATCGAGCCTTTGGGCGTGCGCTCGAACGACTTTTCTCTCTCCGTGACAGCAATCTTGTTCTGGTAGATGCGTGCATGGGCAGGTGCCTCCCTATTGGCTTGTTCTACTGTAGGCCATATGTGTTCCACCAACGTAGCCGAGTCTATCATGCCAGCCCCGTCTCGCCCCGGCTCGATGAGCAGTCCAGTCTGGAACCTACCTTGGCCGACGACAAGTGCACCCTTTACGCAAGCATGGGATTCGATGCACTTCTCCATCGAAACAGGATTGACCTTTTCGCCATTGCTGAGCACGATGGTGTCATCTCGTCTGCCGCTGTACTTCCATAAAAAAGGCTTAGTGGGATGCTGCCGGAAAAGATCTTTGGTTAGCCATTTCTCTTCGCCGGGAAGGGTTTGGAAGACAGCTTGACAGCTAGTATCCCTCCGTTCGAGAACGAGTTCGTACAGCTCATTCTCTGCCGGTTCCATGACAGCACCAGCGGCATCGCTCCAGTGAAAATAGCCCCATTCGTCTGGCGCTGTTGTGTCGAGACTGGGTATGAGTAAGGCTTCGGTACTGCCAATGATGGTTTGAAGCTTTGTTACTCGACAAAGCTTCTCACCGCTTGCGTTAGCCAGAGGCGCGCCGCCGAAGAAGACCGTATCTAGTCTGCCGAGTGCATGGAAACCTGCTTCCGTGCCAGACATATCTTCAAGAATCGACGGAGGAAAGACACCCGTAGCTGGATTGATGGCTGCAATCGCACCGATGACTAAACTGGCGTTCCACAGCTTTCCCGACGGGAGGGTGGCGATCGAACTCCTACACATCAGCGATCGGAGTCCGACCACGATGCCCATTGCGTGGAAGAAGGGCACAGCAGCAAGCATAAGCCTTTTGTCTGCAAGAAATAGCTTCATGGTGCTCTGACGACCTTGTTCTCGGCCCAGGTTTGCTTGCTCGTATACCGAGTTCAGGCCTCCTACGGTCAGACGAACGGCCTTGGGAAGGCCTGCCGTGTTCGTTAACGACCTGTGGGATGCAACTCGCTGAGGGATACCACTCACCAGTCGAACCAGAAGTATGGAGAATCAGGCTGTTGGCTGCCCCGTCGCGGCGGTGTCGTCCATCATAGTGGGGCGGTCGATGGCTCGGGTCGAGCAGATCTAGCAAGAGTGGCACTTCAACAATCTGCGTATTGGGAGCAACCTTTTGAATGTCTTCAAAACACCGGTGTCTGTCCGGCGTGCTCAAGAAAAGTGTACACTCTGTCTCCTTGAGAATCGATTGCTGGCCTTCGGGAGAGTTTCGCGGCGATACGAACAGCGGCACATACCCCACCTTCAGTGCTGCGGCTAGTACGACAAGATACTGCAGGTCATTCGGACTATTATGGCGTCAGCGAGGCATAGAACGCGAACAAGCACACACTCACCCTATGTAGCCGATGGTTTGGCCTATGGGGTCAGAAACTCCCAGCGTTTCTTCTAGAGACCAGGCTAGAGAATCCACGGCCTGTGCCAGTTGCGCAAACGTGATACCACGCCAGCCTTGGTCTACGCTGCTGCTTGACCGTGGTACCCATGCCCAGATTGCGTTGGGTTCTTCTTCTGCTGCCCGATCGATATGGTCTGGCACAGCCAGCGGTGGTGGAGCTGTTGGGACCATTGTGGAATGCTTGGTATTGTAGTGATCCGCTTTGGCCGAGTGTGACATTCGTTCGAACAGGTTGTGAGACAGTGTTTCCGATAGGACACTTCACAGCTATTTAATCTTCCGGTATCCCAAGCTACAAAATGTTTGACTGAGTTAACCAAAGCCATAGCTTTGGTCAGTGTCAAATTTCGCTTGTAAGCAGCTTGTAAGCAGCTTACCTGACCGAGTGAGTGATCTGGTGAAGCGAGGAAAAATCGCTGTAGACAAAGCATAAGCGCAAAGATAAAGCATCGCTGACACCATCACGAAGAAGTTATCTCCAAACAGCTATGTGCTGGAGGGGTATTGCAATGCCGGGCCATGCACGTTTTTGAGTGAACAGCCTGTAGTCGTCCATCTGAAATTCTTCCATGGATGACGTCAAGTGTTGTAGGCGGCTCACGAAGTCCATGGGCTCCTATACTTTGTCGTGCATAGTGATCCAAGTGGACTGGATCAGCACTGGACTGGATTTGGCTGGACTGGATCCGGAGTTTAAGAAATTTGGACTGGACTGGATCGAGAGGTCGGGACGCTCCTGAAGCGCCAATGAACCATGCCTGGTTAGAAAGCAACTGATCCTAATAAGAGTGAGTCACATCCTCGGCGTTCTTGCTTCAGGTACGCTTTACCCCAGATGCGCGTTTTCAAAAGCAGTCCATCTAGTCCAATGACTACCTGATAGCATCCAATAATGTATCTGGCAGGCCAGCGGGACCTACGACTGCTAATATGTTAAAAATGGTATGAACCCACTCAGCGGCGGCAGACATCCTAAAATGGCCGCATCAACAATTACTCAGTTCTTCGCTCGCTCTTCTTCTGAGACTTCCGAGTCTGATAATATCATTCTTGCCGCTGAATCTATTGACCCCCGTCGCGACCCAGAAGCTCTGATCCAGCCAGATGAGTTTAAGCTCCAGGGGGGAATACATCCGCTGTGCGGTGCTAGCGAAGGGCCCCAAAGCAACAAAGAAGCGAAAGTCAGTGATCTAAATATACGGTGAAGATCTGAGCTACAGGCCAAAAAAGATGGGAGATGAGTATGGTATTGCTACCTCTGTGAAAAACAGCGCCGTCAGCAAGAGCTTCCAGCAGTGTCGAATGGAAATTCTACAGCGCTCGACCACCTCGACTCGACACATAAGATCGATAAGGTTACCGGTGAAAGTGAATCCTTCCGAGGAGACTCGGTGGATACGAGCCAGCCGTCGATATCCGACTACCAGGACATGAAGTCAATCGTCTTCGCCCCCCGCTTAGATCGATTTAAGGAGCTCCTAATCCGCTGGCTAGTCTGCTGCCATATCGCTTTCTTCCAGATTGAAAATGGCTACTTTCAGGATCTCCTCTTTGATCCATTTCCCCCTTTAGCGAATCTACTTCCAAAAGCCGCATCTACTATTCGTCAATGGGTGATTAGTGCATTGGAGGAGAGGAAAGAAAGATTACGACACGGCATGCATGACGCTCGGAGTTCTATTTTGTTATCATTCGATCTTTGGACGTCGCCGAATTACCTCGCTGTGCTTGGAGTAGTGGCACATTCTATCGATAATAGTCGGACTGCCGTCTTAGCGCTACGTGAGGTAGAAGGGGAACACTCAGGAGAAAATATAGCCCATGTCCTTTTGTGGGTCATCAAATATTACAAGAGTGCTGGCCAGATCGGCTACATTATGGCAGACAACGCGTCCACTAATGACACCTGCATCATTTCCGTCCTTCAGGCCCTCTACCCAAATATGTCAGTGAAGCAGCGGAGGCGCCGGCGCCTTCGCTGCTTTGGGCATATCGTGAACTTGTGTGCGCAGGCTTTCCTCATCGGAAAGGACGCTGAAAAAGTCTGTAAAGATCCGGAAGCTGCGTATCGGGAGGGCGATATGAAGAGGATGAAGGAGCTCTGGCGGAAGCGCGGCGCAATCGAAAAGCTTCCTAATATTATTCGATATATACGAGCAAGCCCTCAGCGCCGTCAGTTCTTTAGATCCATTATACGGAGGGGAGCTATCAGAGTTTGACAGCTTAGAGGTGAGCTGGCACCTGCTAGGCGGATATTAGAGCTAACATGCTCTAGCTTATTCAAAACCAACAGACGCGCTGAAATTCATACTGTACCTCGATCGGTAGAGCTCTTGCAACTGAAGCAGATAACTTCGCATTTCCTGCCGCTGCAGCTGAAGTTTCCTGGAGTAAGGCCGAGGAATACTTCAAAAAAGCGGACAATACGCGAGCATACTATACCGCCATTCCTCTAAATCTAACTCCTAAACATCAGTGGTACATTGAGACCTGGACGGACGAAGCTAAGCGGCCATGGATTTAAACCGTGAAAGAGCTTGTTAAGGAGTTCTGGTTAGAGGAATATCGAGGTAGATACTCTACTAAGCAGGCGTCTGCTACCCCAGCCCTAACGCCAGCTGTTCCGGCTAAGAAAGAGAAGGCTTCTGCTGCTATCAAAAGCCAAGCTCCGCCATGAGGCATTAGCACCTGAAATACCAGCTATCGATCTCCTCGATCAGTTTCTTGAGAAAGACGTTATCCGGCTCGGTGAACTTGACTTGTTTGACGTTATCCAGTACTGGAATAATCGCTACTACTGGCAACCTGATCTAGCACGTACTAGCTGTTCCACCAATGTCTGATGAGTGTGAGAGGCTATTCAGCAGCGCGAAGATGCTGCTTACCGACTGGCGCTCGAGGCTCAAGATGGATATTATCGAAGCTAGTGAGTGCCTTCGATCGTGGTATGGGCCACCTACACGGAATGCTCTCGATGACGAAGGCATCGGGAGACTGGAAGGTGAGCCTGACCCTCAAGAAACTGGGCAGCAGGGTGGGGGTGTTGCTGATACCGAAATGGACAGCGCAGAACTTCAGATCGTGGACCAAGACGATCTTCTGGACGAGGACGATATTGATGAAACCAGTATGGACATTTTGGATGTCCATGACGCAGTATATAGTGTAGAATAAATGTGTGTTCGGCCACTAGACTGGCGTTTTCTATTGAAAAAGGATACGCACTGAGCAATTGTGAGAACTGGATTTGCACTGGCGCTCCAGGAGTTCCAGGGCCCTTGCACTGGACTGGACTGGATCCGAACTCTGAATCCAGTCCAGTCCATTCCAACAAGATCACTGGTCATAGCATGACAACCATGTTGATCAGCAAAGGCACTCTGAGTCCTAGACTGGTCAGTCTAGTATTCTATGTGAATAGCCCTGGTAAGATCATAAGTATGGCACAGCACTACTCTACCTTGTCTTGAAGGCTTCTTGTCCGGTTTCGACAACGCTTTTCTCCTTCCAGGGTACGATTGTACGACGGCTCGCATGGGAAAACGAGCGAGCTACCGAAGCCTTGACCGACGGCGAATCTACACGACCTCTTACCGCGACGCTATCGTTTCTATCGCGAGCGTCCATACGGAAACGGTCAACATCTGGTCACATCTGCTCGCCGCTCTTTGGTTCGCCACAAACGCGGCACGCTTTACTGGCGCTGCAATGTGTTTGTCGTCTTCTAGCACAGCAGCCGTTCTTACCTACCTGGTGGCAACCGCTTTCTGTTTTGCATGGTCGGCACTCTACCACATCTTTGCAGACCATACTGCAGCAGACTTCTGGCTGCGTCTCGATCATATTGGAATCATCTGCGCTATCTGGGCCTCTTCCGTATCGTTCGTAGAACTCTCCCCTGGCTGGCACTCTTCCGAGCGCTGGAGACACATTCTGATGGTAACTGCCACAGCCACGATTTGCTGTATGTGCCTGTCCACCGTCTCGCTGTGCGGCAACTTGAAGCAAAGCTTTCGCATCCGCACGCACGTGATCATGGGCAGCGTTGCAGCCATCCCCGCACTGCGTTGTTGGCATCTCCATAGGCCAGGGCAGTGCATGGGTCTTCTTGCAGACTTTGTGACCATGATCGTTATCAACGGGTCAGGAGGCGCTATCTACGCAACACACTTCCTGGACGAGAGAATCAAGAAGAAGCTAGGCGTGCCGGGTGCGACCCATCAGGTCATGCACGTTCTGGCTGTCGTTGGAGCACTAATCTACGAGCGCGGTCTGATGCTCGCGTACTTTCAGCGCCATAAGCCAGACGAAGACTGTCCTCTATGGGGTTGATTTCAGCCAGGGAATGTATGACTGCGCGTTACCTCATTGCAAGACATGCGAGTATAGTTGCACTGATAAGAGGAAGGGTAAACCGCGGACGAGAAGACGAATCTTGTCTGATCTTCTCTCCATGCGATGCACGAGGTGTCGTTCATATTCACTACATCAATTGTACACTAAATTCATTGCCCATGGGTTTTATCTAACGACCTTTGTGAGGATGTGTGCCCGAGCGCCTGCGGACATAGCAAGTGTGACTTAGCTCATTTTGTGATCTCTACGAGGTCGAATTAAGGCGAAATGAGCTTTCCACTACTCTTCTCCGTGCGTTTAGAGCGCTAATAACGCCACGACACCTGCAGATGCTCGGCTATGTCAGGTTTCGGGATATCACCGTCTCACGTCGGTACATTGTCTATTCTCACTCTCATTCATACTTACCATCAATCTCTCTCCACACTTATAAGGCTCTTCAAAGTTCGCCATCTGCCCCAGGTTTGTGACTGCCATGTTATCCACATGCACCCTGCTCGTCAGTACCAAGTCCCGACAGCCGCAATCGCCACACACTTTACCTTTGTCTCTTGTCGCAAGTGCAGCAAGCGGAAGTGGAGAATACACACTCAGGCACTGCAAGACGCGCGCATGGACTCGTTGCATTCGGCTTTCCATCTGTGAGCTCGTCGCGGCTGTGCGTTGGACCACGATAGCCTCGTCCTGAAGCACCACTGTGGCGTCTTTCCCGTGTCTCCCTAGACTCTAGGTTCGAAAACAGCCACGAACTGTGAGGTAGAGCCTCGCCTCCCTCCACAATGCTATTCCGGTTGCAATGCTCATTCTCGATGCGGAAAAGCGACTACAGTCCTCTCCTACAGACTTCGCCGACGGAAACACCAAACGAGGTGACAGCAGAATGCTGCAGCTGTTGCGAGATAGCAATGTAGAGGATCCAGGTAAATCTCAGCAAGACTTAGATCAGTATTGCCCCAAAGTAAAGCCATGCAGCTGTGAGTTTTAGATTTCTACGCAGAAATAGGCATTTAGCATGTGGCTTCCCGAGTCCCCAGTCGTAGCAAACATCCCAGACGCTATTGACGCTGGTGTTGGCAGTAACGAGGACGATGAAAACGCAGCAATCTGGGAAAGTCTCGTGAGTGCGGTAGACGCTCAAGGTAACGTAGAAGGACACGGTAAGGAGGTACTTTCCGCCATTGAGCAGGTGAATGCTCTCGCGATTCGTGTCTAAGTACCTACAGATGTACTGCAGAGTACGCCATATACTGGGCAGCATAGTTGTAAAGCCCAGCACGCGCGAGTGGGACGAGTCGCATTCTTCACGACCGTTCCATCTCCGTGCGTGGAGGCAGAAAAAGAGCGAAACATTCTGTAGACGTTAGGTGCAATGACAGAGTGTACGGAGTAGAGCCTACGCCAGTACTATACGTGAGTGAACAGAGCATATCAGCAACGTAGACGTCCCACCACTCGACACGATACACCCCGGTCAGGCACACGCGCGGCTAGGAATTCTTAGCATTAAGCAAACCGGCGTCGTGGTTCGAGTTGAATGCTCACAAGAGAGCTGAGTAGCCACATGTGGCTCCCACGATAGCAGACTTTGAACGGAATGAACCAAAGCGCAACAGAGAGGCCAATGATCAGAGTGGAGTAGTATTGGCGAAGAGTATCGCTTCCCGCGTAGTGGAAATTCATGCTCAAGGTAATTCCAAGAAGAAAGTAGCTCCAGCAAGGCAACTGCTCGCGGCTAGCTCGGACGCTCTCCATGAGATGCAGATCTAACCTCAGCGGCTTGTCTCCAGTCTAGATGGTGGCGTGGATCGTCTGGGAACACAGCAGCATAGTCGATGCCGAACGCGTGCCAGATGCGACATGACAGGCAGTAGAGCAGGAGGGTGAGGTTTAGTAAGAAGTATCCACCGTAAATCTGTAGAAAGGTAACTCTCGTGCGTCTGTACGTTGGGCAACAGACAGAGCTGGAGAAGATAGCCGGCCCATGGCAGCGAGCCCTCTCTAGCATAGGTGCTCACCGAGCGAGACGCCCAGAGTACGCCCTGTGTCAGAAACACGGTATCAGCGGCTAGCAGAGCGCCATTTCGAAAGCTACAGTCGGCGATACTGCCTGCATCAACGCGCTTATATTGACGGTCCCGGACACTTCTTCGCATTGAGGTGGCTGCCATGATGAATCTTGGGGTCTTGTGCAGGAATCTAGTCTACGGTATCGGTGTCGCATCGCATGTTGGAGATGATCTCAAAGACAATGTGAGCTGCTAGTGTGAACGACTGTGTCGTAAAACCGGTCCATGCACCCATGATCGTAGTCGGGTCGCTTGCAGGATGGGAGACCTAGAATAAGCAGCTGACAGTCAGGAGTGACATTCTATATGCAGTTCTCTTACGACGGGTGAGCCGTACTCTGATATATAGACGGCAGCTGACGAGGCCAGTCAAACTGATGGAATAGCCCCACGTCGCAGCCCATCGAGCTTCTCATTCTGAATTCCTATCTACAACGCGTAACGACCATTTGTAGCCCCTTCGCAAATCTCTTCCGACAAGTCTGCCTCTGGACATGTGCGTAGTCATTGTGCTATGTCGATTTGATCCAATCCATCGCCTGGGCGGGCGATCTTATTACCCAGGCCAGTTTGGGCGATCTCGCGCGCCCTCGCCGGAGCCAGCGCCGCCCTATGAGCAGTGTGTCGTAGACTCAGTAGAACAAGTTGCGCAAGATGGGTTGGTCTCTTCCCAACCGCACGAAGCAGACTTTCGAGTGATTCTTACCTTTTTTTCTAGAGTGCATTCGAGTCGCTGGACTGTAGTGAAGAGCTATGGAATGTACGATTGCGTGTACGTAATGAGCATATACAGTGGGAGTCGTGGATCACAAGCTAACCTAGTGGATCAGCCGCGATTTCATACTCAACATAAAAGAGAAGAGACGGCGTGCTAAAGGAGTGAACGAATGAGCTCTAGTTGTGATGCTCGCTGTATGTACGCAACATCACTCGTGAACAAAGGAGTCGTAAGCTCTGTTCAAGGCAAAACGATGCGAGACAAAGCTCCCATGCACTGTATCTCTGTCTCGTTGTGGAACATCATAAGCACAGTTATTTTGGTATATCTCCACGCGTGTTCTCTACAGCACGAAGATGGAGTGAAGCTGGGTGGAGACTAGGTTTAGGCAGACTGCACACACTGGAAGCGCGCATAAACGGCAGATAAGCGGCGCTCATAGTTTTGGCATGCAATAGACTACAAGACATGCTGCTCGCATATGTCTCTCGACGTAAGCGCATCACTCATTTTGTTGACACAGGGACGATCCGCAGCTGTTTGCTCACCGGGCCTATTTGCTGAGCCTTTTGTTGAAGTCGACGAAAGCAGACCAGAGATATTCTTTCTCCAGCTAGACCCAAGGTAGGCCGTCTGCTCTACTCGCTCGGCCTTGTCTTCCAAGATACGAACAAAGATAGATCGGCACAACTCGGTCCCATGAAAACTCCCAAACCCGTTAACAAAGACGCGACAGATCGCAACGAGCGGTTCTCCATCGATGCACATATTGGAAAGACCCTCTCTCGCCCTGCTTCCTACTGCACGACCACCTACCCCAACGACGACCTGCAAAGTCGCAGCCAACACGCTCAGATCCCGCAGCTTGTGCTCGCCATGGCGGCCCTGCGCCTCGAGCACAGGAAGACGGAGCAGATGGTAGAGAAAGAATACGAGGTGCTCGATCCGAGTAGCACGGCAACAGGATCCAAGCATGCGGTAGCTCTGGACGACGAGTATGTGTTTGTGGACAAGTGAATGCACGCGAGCAGGGGAGACATTTGTTACAGCGACAAATTTCATGGGAAGATAGCTTGCCTATTTTCGCGGTAGCAGCATACAATCTCACAGCGACACTTGTAGATATTGACCTCACTTCCTGCAGTGCGCTCGGAGTGGTGTATTGGAGATGGGACAGAAAAGCCAGATCAACTTATCATAGATTTTGTGCAGCTCAATGGATCTGAAACGTCTGTAGTGGAGCAGAGACTTGCATCTGCCAGCCCATCACAGTATTAACTCAGAGGCGGTTCTCGGTCGGCTGTTGAAGTTCATTCCACCAGTGATTGACATGGATGGGATGGAGTTCCACTCGCCAAGATCCACGGATATCCATGGGGTAATTGGAGCTGGATGGAGCATTTGGAAAAAGTATCCATGTCATTCACTGCAGTCCACTACCTATGCCGATTGCGAGTTCGCTCTAGGTTCTAATGGGCTGCCTACCAGCAATGACACCTACAGAATCTCATTCCATCAAAATTTCGTCGACCTTGTTGGTTCAGCCGAGCGTACATCCCATTCAGAAGCGTAAGTAACAGAGTAAGGTGAATAGCCTTCGATTCAGAGAAAATAGTTAGGAGAAACGAAAGTGTGGTTTTGCAATAGCAATGCTGTTCGCTATGGAAACGCTGAACTACTTGATTTCTGTCTTCCTGCTGGTGCAGCGGCTACTATTGCCATCAAACTAGATTCTATCGCAATTCATGCTCACCCTGGGGTGAGATAACGGTCAGCGCAAGGGCGAGAACGCAAAAGCTATGTAGACGTTCGTCTAGGATGCAAGGCTGTGACAGCCTGGTCGACAGCAGGAGGTTGACTGCTGGTCCCAGTGGGTCGCCCAAAGCTCGCCTGTGAAGACAATGCTAGCGGGTCGACCGTCAGCGCAGTGCGAGACTCGAAGTTTGGCACGGCTGTGGTCATAGGATCCTGGTCGTGGAGCACGGTGCCACTTTGGCCCAGCGGCAAGTCAGGGACAATGTCCACATCGATGCACGATGTGTAGTACTCGTCCTGCCCATTGGAAAGACTTGGATCTGGCTGAGGTGCTGTGGGCCATTGCCACACCCAATAGAGGGTGTAGGGCTGCCCGACGGTGACCTCATCCGGCAGTCTCACGTTCGTCTCGCAGAGCAATTCGTGGTCTGAGCCGGGCTGTTCAGGGCGTGGATTTGGTGTCTGCAACCGACGGGCTTCGCCCAACGCTGTATGGTCAGCCCTAAGCTGGTAGCACCTGTCGTCGTCAAAGTTCTGGGAGGTCAGTAGTCTGCCACGTCGATCACTTCCTTTGCCATCATGCGTCCAATGCAATACATTCTGAAGAGTCTCATCGGGACGTGGCTGCTTTGTGCCAAATACAAACACCGTACCGCCCTTTTCTGGCTTCCCCACAAGACCGATTCCACCGCCCGGCACGGTGACGTGACCATTCTCAGCATAACGTATCGCAATCACGTTGCCCGGACTGGACTGCAGACGAGAAAAACTGCCTGCCTGGTTGGGGACTCGTTGAGACGGGTGGCAAAGAAGGTCTGCTTCGTTTATGAAGGGCGGGGTGCGTGCCGGCGGCAGGAGCCATTCGTTGGCCTCCTGGTCGAAGCTACCGTCGGCAGTCTTGTCCACAAACCCTCGCGGATAGCCAAAGCTAGCCACATACGAGCCATTAGGGGCAATGTTGACGAGTTGTTCGACCCATGAGTGGGCATTGGCCCAGTTGGCTGTCAGCACAAAGAGTGTAGCAAGTGCTTGATACCGCATTTTCGAGGGAAAAATGCTGGAAGCCAAGATCGAGTCCCAGACATGGACCCTCATGTATGATATATGTCCAGCCTTCTTGCTTACGATGTTCGCATGTCGCGCTCAGTCAGCGCGGTTACTCAAATGCGTGACGATGCTTCGCTTATGCTGACATGTCCATCGCGGGGTGGCCAGAAGCAGATTGGGGAACAATATGCCGCTGTTTCCATCTGCACCCTCCGGTACTCGCACGTTCTAGTTCGTGGAGGCATCCACTTCCGCACACACATCCAAAGACTCTCGCTCAAGGGTAATGACAGAGTCTAGGACATTCCGGGTAGTCGCGACGGGGGAAGCATATAGATCTTGTGGTGAAGACTGTGGCATGTGAGAAGTGCCGACTTTCACTGCTTACAAGGGTATTAGCACAGGGTCTCGAGGAAAACGCGGTGTCACCGATGCGTCTTTGAACTTGTGTCATTGTTCTCTACGGTAAGCCATGCGCTACAGATTCTCGTTGGTGCTTCTTTTCTTCGCATTGATTAGCTTGTCACCGAACGAGGTGTTGGTCTTTTCTATCAGCGTTATATCGTAGACCGTCCAAGTGCGCACCTCCTCATGCTGACGTGCGCACTCAAAGGGCAACATCACGACACGCAAGCTCAGATAAGCAAGACGCACAGCTAGTATGAGGCGACTTGGGTCGCAGTATACTGTATGGGTGGAGCCTGCCAAACGGAGATGGAAGGTGTAGGTGGAGGGGCCAAACAGTCGACCTTGTGAAGTGACGTCGCTATGGGCTAAAGCGGTGAGGAGTGAAATAAATCCTTTTCGGCCGTTTACTTTGAACAGATCAAAGGACAGGAGTAGTTTGTGCATCAGTTCCATCGCATAGTACACCTTCGGAATTCAGACACGTGATAGAGTTACGGATACATCGTAGCATGGGGCTTAGCATAATCACGTGGTTCAGCGCTGCGTCAGACCATTCTCAGCTTGTGTCGTATTGTGCACCCGATGTGCCTACCACACAATTATAAAGGCGAGTCTGGTCCATCAGCTGCCACGTTCGTGCGACAGCCGTAACCTGCACCTAATTGTGACACGCCGCTGTGGCTACATGAAGTAAGCACATGCTAGACTGAATATGTCTGACCTACAGATGTTGCTTATGAGAGCAATGCTGATGGTGCAAATTGCAAAGACATCCTCGAGTTTTGCGTCATTATAAGAGCCTCGACGCAGCTCGTGTAGGCCCAACAAGCCCTCTCTCCAATATCCCTTGTCTCATTACAATCTATCATGCCTAGAGTGGACGTAAAAGGGGTCAACATGGGGTCGAGTGACGCTGCAGAAACTTCGACCAAACATGGCTCTACCCTTCCACGTATACTCGCTAGAACGCGTGGATGGAGGCTAGTAAAAGACCAGGAAAAATATAAGGTCGTATCGAAGGAGACGTGCACGCCTGAGGAAATCCGCACTTCCAGAAGAGTTCCCAGCTTCACTCCTCCTGAATACACGATTCACCTGAAAAATGCTGGCTATGGTAACATCCAACTTGGTACGGTCTTGACTTATAGTCGTCGAAGTAAATCGCTCTTCGTCTATCGTTTCAGAGATGAAGAATCATTCGAATGGTTGACGGAGGAGAAGTTCAAAAGTGTGCTCAGTGAAAAAGATGCTGAGCGATTCAAGACGGCTGTTGGGTCATCGGCTGATGGCAAGCCAGTTCCCATAGCGCAAGAAGAGGTGGAAGACCAAGTAACTCACCCAACAGGAGCTCGCCAATCAGATTACGAGATGTCGTTGCAACATCATGCGGAATTCCTCGAAAACCTTTTTGATTTGAGTTCCAAATACCTAGAGATATTACCACCACACCTCACGCCTGCTATCGCGGAATCGTTGAAACAATGTTCTGAGAACCTGCGTCAGACTGTTGATATCGGAGAGTTTGCATGGAAGGCCCAGGTGGATAGCGCAGCCAGTTCCGGCAATCCCGCGCCGACAACATAGAATCGATTTGGTAGGGCGCTTGATCGAATATGGTGGGAAAAGATATTCGTCACGGGAATATTCCTGAGGATCTACTGCTGGATTCAATAGGCGCGAGACTTATCCTGCATCCATCGCCTCACACGACACCCTACTCGAGCGTCCAGTATGCTACTGGTGTGATACTAAGTCGTACTCTCACATATCCTTCTCTAGAATTGTAACACGTTCGCGTTCATCATATCTCATGCAATGTATGCCGCCGTGATGTGCTTGTCCGCGCAGAGAAGACCTCTATGTAAAAGAAAGCCCTCACTTCGGTCTAGGTCTGTACAGTTTCGCTATGCTTAAATTAGAAACTTCAGGATCCTGAGCTGCATCTAAGAACCCTTGTCTTCATCACATCTTTCGGCGTCTGGGAAAACATACCTGCTTGACTTAACACTATATTTCCACAGGGAAAAGGATGATCAGCTTCGCCTCGGACGGGTTTAGAGATTCAGACAGGAAGTAAGGTGGTGGGCTCCGGCGAGGTCATGGTCGCCCAAGCGGATTACGCTAGGTGGAGGTGTGACGCGTGTGCAATCACAGCGGACTACAGCGGTAACATGCAGCATCACTAGGAGCCAAACCCATGGAAGAAGTCTGGGGAATTGGCCTCTAGTATGTCTGCGTCTGATCGCTGTTGACTCTATTCTGGCTAAGGAACTACGTCGTTACCTACAAACTGCACAACGGCAGGTAGCGTGCTGATAGCAGACTGCAGATATGGTACTGTAAGCAGGGGGGCAATAATGGTATATCGTCTCATGTATGAGTGTATTGTTGTTGTGTGTATGTACAAGTATGTGATCTGAGCCTTTAAGTAGACGAACGCATTAGTCATGCCTATAGAGCAGTCGTGTGATGTGGTCCTAGGCTTGCAGGTACCGATGAATGTTTTGTTCTCTAGCTTGCCTTTCTATCCTGTCTTTGCGATACTCGGATGTACGGCGAAGTCTGCAACAGATACCGCGAGCGGGAGTGTTGCGCCGACGAAGAAACTGCCTGTACTCGACTGACCTGTATCAGGCTATGTTGTACACATGCCACGTTCACTTTCTGAGGGCTACTTCAAAATCTTGGACTACTGCATAGTTGATCCGACGCATCGATATGGACATCTTCGGGGCCCCCATTAAGATCGTCGACGTTGTGGTAAAGTACCATTGACAATAGGCAGGATGGGGACACGCGTGCGAGCCATCACCAAGATTCATCTCATTCTCCCCTGAACTCTTCGGATGGGCATGGCAAAACCGACAGCAATGTTACCAATGGCAAGCAGTGCTTGCTCGCAGCGCACAGATTGCCCGTCATAGCATAGTCAAGGTCTTGCATCGCACTACATCCTCACCCTGTATCGCATCGGCTGACATGCAGAGATAAGATGCCCGGTCTCGGTTCAGAAGTGGCCGAAATGCCGACGGGGCCAAGAATGAGGTAGTGTAGGCTTCGTGCGCGTAGAGCATTGCACGTCTGTCAAGGTGCTTCACCCGGTCAGCACCAGGCTCGTCATGCATCCAAGCGTGACCGATCGACTACGAACCTGGACCTGATCCCGTACTACGAGCGAGACTGACCGAGACGGGGCTGGGACGTCAGCGTAAGCACTTTGAAGGATCCGTTGGCTCCATGCAGGGCTGCCACGACGAGAACTGTGCTGCAGTGGAGCATCTGCTTGGCAGTAAGCAGCTTACACTTTCCAAGTGGGCTTGTGCGCGAAACTAAACGATAGGGTTCCCAACATCTGACGCGGACTGCGCTTGGTTCATCCCTCCTTCGTAGTGTAGACAAGGGTAGGCCAGTCTTCTGCATGCAGCTGTGCAGCGCAATCTGCAGGTTTATGGAAGTGTGATAGCGTGGTTCCTACATAGTACACATGCACAAGCCTCGATGCGACGATCAACAGGGGGTAGTATAGGCTGCGTGCGCGCAGAGCGTTGCATACCTGTCAAGGTGTTTCGTCAGGCAACCAAGCGTTACGAATCGACTGCGAACTGGACCTGATCCCGTACTACGAGCGAGATTGACCGAGACGGGGCTGGGACGTCAGCGTAAGCACTTTGAAGGATCCGTTGGCTCCATGCAGGGCTGCCACGACGAGAACTGTGCTGCAGTGGAGCATCTGCTTGGCAGTAAGCAGCTTACGCTTCCCAGGTGGGCTTGTGCGCGAAACTAAGCGACAGAGTTCCCGGCGTCCACAGTAAGCGAATCACGCTTGCCATCGCATTTGCTAAGCACTATACTGTCTAGCCAGAAGTTTGGCTCTTCCCTACGCCTCGATGTTGGCTCAGCCGTCGTCGCCAGGGAATCTGGCGCTATTGTTTTCGGCTGTCCGCAACTGTCAACAACAACAACCAAAACACACGGTCATTATTGCACCAACGCATCTTCACAGCCTCGTAATGATTTGGAGGTTCGATTTGATGGAGCGCAAACGCTTCGAATGAGAGAATCAGCAGATTGGCGGAGCGTAAGCTGCTTATTGATAAGCAGGGAAGCGTCTGCGGCATAGTCCTACAGTTTTATTCTCCAAAATGCGAAAAGGATGTAACAAGAATAATTCGAGTCAAGAAGAGCAACCGTTATGTGATATGCAGCGCATTGTAAGCGCAAAGAGTGCCCCTTATGCTTACGTTGTCAGAATTACCATATGCATGAGCATAACCCTGGTGTTTTCTGGACAGTAACGTTATACTGTACATATCTTGCAGGAGAGTTCCAACTCTTCGAATCTTCGCAACGCAAGGTGGCTGACATGGTCGCTATCGGTCTCACTCGTTGCAACGACGGAAATCGCACTCCCTGCAGGTTAGCGAACCAGAAGGAGGTTTGCTATTCCAACGCCGTGCTTCAATGCTTTGCAAAGCTTATAGACCCGTCTTATCTAGGACTCAAGCTTGGGATAACCCACCTCCAAAACCATGGAATTTTGTGTACGCGGCTGGATGTTACAAGTACTCATGAAGTGGACAAGCGCG